CGCTAGCTGACATCATGTTAATGCTAGGAGACCATTGGATTTGAAATTTTTTTTTTTTTTTCCGAACAAAATTTTTTTATTCCCATTTTTTTCTATAAATACCTAAGTCATTCCTACACCATTTCTCACATAATTTTCATCATTCCATACTTCTTACTTCATTCTATTTCAATTCTTCACATTCTATTCTCTTATATCTTCCAATAATTTTTCCTTCAATTTTTTCAATAATTTTCAAATGGCCACATCTGCAATGAAAGGTAGGGTTTGGATCCAAAAAAAAGATGAAGCTTTTTGCAGGGCTTATAGATGAGTCTCAGAAGATAGTGTGAGGGGGAGTTCTCAAACAAGTGAAGGTGTTTGAACTCGTACGTCCAAAAAATACTATGAGTTCTACGAAAGCACCACTCCACCGAATACCCAAAACCACGAGAGTTGTTCTTCAAGATGGAAGAAACATCTTCATCCAAGTTTGAATAAATGGCATCAAGCATTGTTAATGGCCGCAAGCAGACATGAAAGCAGCGCCAATTACTACGACGAAGTAAGTGTTTTCACAATTTATTTTAAATATTTAATTATATTACATTTAATTTCCTTTAATTTTTGTAATTATATTTTCTAGGTACGCCAATCAGAGGAATTGTATATAGAGGACAACTCGAAACCCTTTAATCATCACGGTTGTTGGGAAATTTGTAAAGGGCGGGTGTTATTTATAGATCCACCTCAACAAAGAGTTGGTCCTACGCCGGTGTTCAAAAATGCATCCTCAACTGCAGATGGGGATGAAGATGGATCTCCTACCATTCAAGAAATAAGGGTAGAAAATCTATATCCGGGTGAAGGTTTCATACCTAGGGCTATGGCCCGAATGAAGTTGTTTACCTCCGACTATAATCCTACAATTGCGGATGATGATGATGATGATGATGATGATTATAGAGTTTAAGTTTAAATTGTTGTAGTTTTTAAATTTAAGTTGTTGTAATTTTTAAATTAAAACAATAAATTATGCTTGGCCTTATGACCCTTTGGCCCCCTCGGTTGGAGATGGTTTTTGGTCACAGGGCTATGTTTGGCCTATAGCCATCTGGCCCCTTAGTTTGAGATGGTAAGAAATATGCCGTGACACTGTTCATTAAAATATTAATTTCTTGAACTACAGGCTAAAACGAGCTATATGGCCCTCCTTCGGTTGGAGATGGCCTAACGTGCGGGCCCCACCGTCTGAAATCTTGTTGGTAATGCGCCCCCATGAGCGCGTGCTATGCACGCGCCTGACGCAAAAAATTTTATCATGTGGCTGACGTCATGTTGACATCAGCCTTGCATCAATCCTCCTCAAGTGATCAGCCCTTGGACTCTTGCCTGCCCTCTTCCACAGGCTCCCCCTTAGCCCAAATTGCTTGAATGGGCTGGAGCTAGTTCGGGAAGGAATTAGGTTGCAAATGTTCCCTATCCACCGGGCTAAAGAGCACGCTAGATTTGCTCTTAGGTGACTTGTTCATGAAAACCTCAACCTAGTTTACCTAGAACAAAATTCATGCCAAAAATAGTATAAAAAAATAAGAACATAAAATAGAAAATTATAACCTGATCAAAGTGCAGCAGTTTTGAGAAAAGTGTTTACAAGTGTTCCAAATCGTAGGACCCAATGGAACTTAATGCAGCAAGACCAAATGCCTCCAAAAGCTGCAGCAAGTTTGAGTCCAAATTGCAGACGAGCAAATGGTAGAAAATCACAAATCGCCCCAAGTTGCGAATGAAACGACCGACGCACCGCGTTCCTTTCTCCAAAAAACACACAAACCACCCTCTAAAGACGCAAGACGAGAAGAGGGCAATATGCATATCAACCCGTTCAGAACAGTGAAGCGATGTGGACAATATGCAGATCCCTCGGAGTTTTCAAAAGTTTGGTATTGATTTCTTATGAAAGAATTATATTCAAAGTTTATAAATTGTGATTGATGGTTGGTTTTATTATTGTATCACATGCTTATTTTATTGTCCCTCACCCGAGCCTCTCAGCTTATCTGAGTGCCTGATTTGTCAGTGCACCAATTCCATAATATTGGCATTGACTTTACATATGAAAGGTCTGGGTAGATTATGAAAAACCGCTTGATATTTTGGTTCCGTTGAGTGGTCCAGAACCCAATGTTGTTGGATTCCGTTGAGTGGTCCGGAATCCTTGCTCTTGTTCATTCCGTAAGGTGATCTTAGAATCCTAAATTCGAGTAGATGGGAATTACCCACAATAGATATTGTGAAAATAAATTAGAATTACCATGTTATTATTCATAACCCAAGTTGGGAATTATGTAGAGTCCTTTAATTAAATTTGTGAAATGATATGTTATCTCACTGATTGATTAACGTAATTAAATATTAATATTGTGCTTCGTGATTCCTTGATATGTTACAAGCTATGTATTGAGATATAATGTTGGAAGCATAGTGATTGGTATGATGAAGTGAAATGTGATTTGACTTGTGTATTGGAAATGGTTGTGACATGTGATTGAAATGCATATTGAATTGCTTGGGAGGTGTGAGGTCTAGTAATTGACCGATAACCCATTGTGATGTGGATTTGTGCTCGATATTGCTTCGTTTCGTTGAGTTTTCGTGAATTGGGTAACTTGAATCATGTCTTGTTCCTTCAAGTCGTTGTTATGCTTCTTGGACTTCCGTTCAATTCGGTTGGGTGGTCTGGAACTAAGTTCTGCTTGGATTGCGTTGAGTGATGGTCCGGAATCCCCTTTGGTGCCTTGGTCCGTTGGGTGGTCCAAAATCCCGATGTAGTCTTCAACCGAATTGTGTTGCTCTAGCCTTGCGTTTCGACATGTTGTATGTGTTATTGATGATGTGATGGTTGACATTATTGATTGATGTGATTATGGAATGACGTTGGATATGAGTGTGGTTATCATGAGTATTTTAGTTGATTAATATTTCTAGAGAATAATGTGTACTTTGTTAATTCTTAACTATGTTACACACTATGAAATGCGATTTTATGTGGGAAACGTGATGAATTATGTGATGGATGAAGTGGAAATGTTAATCGTCATGTGGGATTGTTATGTTGGATATCATTGTTATTGTTATGATTAGACTTGTTGATAAATGTGGCTAGAGAAGGGTATTGTGCTTCGTTGGTTCTTTGAAATGATATATGTTGTGAATTGCGGTATCATGTTGCGACATAATGATTTATATATAGATGGAGGGGAAATCATGATTTTCAGGTGGGTTTGTTATGTAACCTTGAGTCGAGTAATTTCATGCTTGTCAAGTTTTGTTGATTGATTGAGAAATGTTATGTCTTTCGACTTAATCGGATTGTAATATATGTCAATTATTGTGCATGACGAACTACGAATGGCTTGATCCCTGCTTAGGGTACGTAGGCAATCTAACGGGGAGGTTAGATGCAGCCATAAGGCATACGTAAAATTTCTATGCGATTCGATTATTGAGTTGTGCTTTGCCCATATTCCGGAGGCGGTGTATGATGGTTACGGATTTTTGGTGACGTCACGTGTCAATTCTGAATGTATGTCGGGATTGCGGCGTGACAGTTGGTCCTACGCCGATGTTTGAAAATGCATCCTCAACTGCAGATGGGGATGAAGATGGATCTCCTACCATTCAAGAAACAAGGGTAGAAAATATGTATCCAGGTGAAGGTTCCATACCTAGGGCTATGGCCCGAACGAAGTTGTTTACCTCCGACTATAATCCTACGATTGCGGATGATGATGATGATGATGATTATAGACTTTAAATTTAAGTTGTTGTAGTTTTTAAATTAAAATAATAAATTATGTTTGGCCCTATGACCCTTTGGCTCCCTCGGTTGGAGATGGTTTTTTGTCATAGGGCTATGTTTGGCCTATAGCCATTTGGCCCCTCGGTTTGAGATGGTAAAAAATATGGTCTGACACTATTTATTAAAATATTAATTTCTTGATAAGCTACAGGCTAAAACAAGCTATATGGCCCTCCTTCGGTTGGAGATGGCCTAACGTGCAGGCCCCACCGCCTGAAATCTTGTTGGTAATGCGCCCCCATGCGCGCGTGCTATGCATGTGCCTGACACAAAATTTTTTATCATGTGGTTGACATCATGTTGACATCACATGACGTCAGCCTTGCATCAGTCCTCCTCAGGTGATCGGGCCTTGGACTCTCGCCTGCCCTCTTTCACAGGCTCCCCCCCTTAACCCAAGTTGCCTGAATGGGCTGGAGCTAGTTCGGGAAGGAATTAGGTTGCAAATATTCCCTGTCCACCGGGTTAAAGAGCACGCTAGATTTGCTCTTAGGTGACTTGTTCATGAAAACCTCAACCTAGTCTACCTAGAACAAAATTCATGCCAAAAATAGTATATAAAAATAAGAATAGAAAATAGAAAATTATAACCTGATCAAAGTGCAGCAGTTTTGAGAAAAGTGTTTGGAAGTGTTCCAAATCGTAGGACCCAATGGAACTTAATGCAGCAAGACCAAATGCCTCCAAAAGCTGCAGCAAGTTTGAGTCCAAATCGCAGACGAGCAAATTGTAGAAAATCACAAATCGCCCCAAGTTGCGAATGAAACGACCGATGCACCGCGTTCCTTTCTCCAAAAAACACACAAACCACCCTCTAAAGACGCAAGACGAGAAGAGGGCAATATGCAGATCAACCCGTTCAGAACAGTGAAGCGATGTGGATAGATGCGGGGGACAACGAGCGGCTTCCCTTTTTTGTCTTCTAATTGAATATGTTACAGCCATTTCTTAAATTTCATTGAATACACCAAAATTTGTAAGATGTTAATAAACTCTCTCAAAATTCAAATTAAATACCCCTATATTTATTAAAAAAAGATTAAAATTTCAATTGGATGCACCCCATACAGAGGAGGCTTGAGAGAGATCCATGCTACCGTAGCATTGTTAAATGTTGCCAACAAACAGGCTACTACCAAACTTACTTGTGTCCTTCCTGTTCCACTTCCAATTCTTTTGGCATGAATTTGATATGTCTATTGCCGTCTTTTTATTACATAACCAAAAAATTTGGTTTGCTTATTAACGGTGCATTTACTTGGACAACGGTGGTGTTTAAATAAAAAACAAAAACTCGTTGATTGGCAAACCAGGATTCAATTGTCGATTTGTGATTTGACTTGTTTGATGTTGCGTGGTTAGACTTTAGGCGACCATACTCCATCTTCGTTGCTTTGCCATTACAAATGAGGGAACCCAAACACATTGGCGAAGCCGGCCAACGTACACCCCTCAATCTACCACTTTCACCAGGTCCTTCTCCGTTTGCTACTGGATTGGGTCCCTATGTCGTCCAACTCTTCCACATCGCTCTCGTACACCAAACGAGTGCCGCAACTCTTCACCAAGCAGGGCCCTGAGCTTTTGAAATGAAAATTTAACTTATTGCAACTGTTTTGCCACTCTGTACCAAAGCTTATACCACGAGACACATAGAGTAGCCAAATATGATCTGACTCGGGCTGGACATCCGAAGATAGTAGAGGCGCAGGGTACTCTTCCTTTCCATTGACTTCCAAAACACCAGAGAGCTCCCATCCGCTCCCATAAACTTCAAATACAGCGCACAGAGCATATCCCATCCACTTGTTATCACGCCATTGCGGAGTTAGGTCGACGCTTACTTCAGTTCCCAGCCTTTGATGAGTGAACCACCCAGGAATTTCCTTTCCAGGCATCACAATTTCATATCTGTCTCCTGCATAAGGGACTCCCTGTACAGGTGAAACAGTGATGTCAAGCAATGAGAAGAGAGAGAGAGAGAGTGAGAGAGAGAGAGAGAGCACCTTAAGATATCTTTGGAGCATGGTAAATGTAATATGATTGTAGCATTCTTTCTCGAGCATTCCAAAGCAATTGATGAAATTGAAGCATGATGAATTCAATTTGCCCAAATTTGAGGGACATTCCAGCATTTCCAGTTTAGTACAACCATCTGCAGTTACTTGTAAATCCACATCTGACGAAAGAACTGGAAGGTGTTGAAGCCTACTGCAACGACTCAAGTATAAATTCTCTAGCTTAGTGAGTTGGCTAATGCTTGTAGGAAGATTAACAAAATCGTTTCCACTTAAGTTCAATGATACCAAAGACGATAAGCAGCCAATATCATTGGGGATGGCTCCTTCACAAAGATTGTGACCACTTAAGTCTAATTCCATTAAGGAACAAAGGCCTGATAGAGAAGGCAAGAAATGATGAAGGCTCCCTGTTGGCATTAATCTAAAAGGGAGCGACGTACACCATGGTCGTAGTGATGGCCCTTCCATTCCACGAAAAATCAATGCTTTAAGGTTTTTCAGAAGGGCAATGGAAGATGGGAATTCTTTTATAGCAGTTCCACTTAAATTAATCTTCTCCACAAACTCTAATTTCCCGAGGCTTTCTGGCAATGTGGCAAGATTTGAGCATCCAGAAACATCAAGACTTTTAATAGCCCTCAAATTTCCAATGGCACTAGGAAGACATTTCAGATTTTTGCAATCTCTCAAGTCCAACAAAGAAAGGCTGGTTAGATGTTCAATTGATGAAGGTATACATTCAATACCGGTCCCATCTAAAGAAAGCTTCCATAAATGCTCCATAGGGTTCCACAAAATTCGGTATCTTTTTAACGCTAGAGCAGCCAGAAAGAACTAGAACTTCAAGGTGCTCCATTTCAATCTCATCCGGAAGAAGCTCGAGACTTTTGCAATCTTTAAGAGTCAAGAAAGAAAGCTTTTTGAGAGTTCCTATGGAAAAGTGAATCTCAACTAGACTTTCGCATCCCTCAAGATCTAATCTCTCAAGATTAGGAATCCCTTCAAAATCAGGGGTTCTAGTCAAACTTTTGGAATGACTAACTTTCATGATTTTCAAATTGCCAAGACTCTGTAATGTCTACAAGAAACAAAGAATAATTAGATCCAGAAAACTCAAATAAGGTAATGAAATATATTCTAACAAGCAAGGTAAATAATAATGTAGGTGTATACCTTTTTGTCATTCCAGAGCTGTTTAATTCTACTATGACACATACTAAGTTCAACAAGCTCTTCCGGGTCGAATCCTGATGGGAGATATTGTAGAGGATAACCTATCCATTCAAGAAATCTCAAGGAATTAGGGAGACTGTTGAGGCCTTCAGGAAGGCACACGTTATGGACTTTGAGCAATCTAAGATTAACCATCTGAGAAAAAGCTTCAGGATGGCATTTGACCTCTTTTGATTCAAGCAAGTCTAGGACAAGGCCTTCAACCGTCGGTGTCCCCTGATAACCAAGAAAAAAAAAACAAGTGAATTGCAGTATAATATGCACGTTATAAGTAAAGGAAGATGAGTAAAACAAACTTTTTTTTACGTGCCTCTTAATTGTTAGATTAATTTATATTTGACGTATTAGGTAAGCTCTTACCGTTTTTTCCTTCAAAACATGAAAGATGTCCTTAGAAAGCCATAATCTGCTTCGTCCACCAGGTTGTTTAGATTGTTGAGCAACAATTGTTTGACCCATTTTTTGTAACAAATCATGCATCCACACCCTGTTGTCTGAAATTGTTATCAGAGACTTCTCCATAAGGACATTTATGTCAATACCTGGATTAAAACCACAACTATCAAGTATTTCAGATACTCGATCTTTGTCCTCTCCTTTAAAGAAACATGCGATGTCAAGGAAAATCTCTCTCCCTTGCGGATCTAATCCCTCGTAACCTGTTATAAGAATCTTCATAATTTTTTCATCCAATGTGAAATCACCCTCTAGTTTACGCGATTGACTGCTCCATGCATCTAGATCTCTTCCATACAAAAAAGACCCCAAGACTTCAAGAGCTAATGGAAGGCCACTGGCATAGTCCACAAAACTGTCAGACAGAGCCTTATAACTTTCAGGCGGATTCTCTCTACGGAAGGCTCTCAAGCTAAAAAGTTTAAGAGCATCAACTTTACTCAGCTCCGGCACCTCAAATACTTTTTTTACACCATGAGAAATTAGCAAGCGTTCATCTCTAGTTGTAATAATGATTCTACTCCCCTGACCAAACCAAGCTGGCTTTTCACATAGCTCTCTTAACTGGTTACTATCGTCCACGTCATCAAGAATGATGAGAACCTTTTTCTCGAGTAAGAAACTTCTCCATCTGGCAGCTTCACCGGCATCCCAGTCTTGTATATTTCTTTTCATAAGGCTATTGGAAAGCTTCCTCTGTACACCGGCCATACTGTGTGCCTTAGAATCCTCTCTAACTCCGTCATGAAAGCTTTTGGCTTGAAATTTATGACGAATCCTCTCATAACATGCTTTGGCAAGGGTTGTCTTACCTATCCCACTCATCCCCCATATTCCTATAAAGAGAACATCATTTGACTCTAGTTCTAAAAGCACATCAAGTTCCTTCAGCTTCGAATCAATGTCAACTAGCTTTTCTGCAGGCTCCAATGATAAAGGTCCTACTTCATTCCGTACATTTTCAACAATTTTTTGGATGAGCTCTGGTTCTACTCTACAAGAAAAAAACAAAGACAATGTTCAAGATATGACCTAATACACAAAGAAATAAAAGAGCCAGAGACTATTTTGTTTTCGTCCACCTGAAGCCATAGTACCAAGTGGTCTCCGCGTCCATTTATAAGAGGGTGGTTTGGTATTGGACCAAATTAGAGACGGTTTAGGAAAAGGGGAGGACAAAAAAGCGCAGCAGTATTGGATTTCAAACATATGAATTCTTAACTGGATCAAATTTTTCCACTTATACTCTCAAATGGACCAAATATATGGTAAAAAGAAAGACTCTCTAGGATGGAACTTTAAACAAAGTCTACAAGGACACAATGTTTCCTCATTAAGTTGTGCAGTTATGGGATTAAGTGGTTATCAAGCACCTTCATCACTGTGCAAAAATTAAATGATATGAATTCTACGATTTTCCTAAAACTTATCATATATTTTTCATGCATCAGGCTTTAGCCGAATTGAACTGGACTTCAGCAAAACTCAACCGAATTATAGAAAAATAGCAAGAATGAAGGGTCAAGTGCTGATTTGCGAAAGCTTTTGAATTGAGTGAAAGAGAGAAAACACAAGTAATGCCAACCTATTCTTTGAAGTACACCCTTTGATTTTTGCCACTTTTGTTAAGGCAGCTTTCCATCGTTCCACCATCTCTTTGTCATCCTTATGCTTCTCTGCGCGTTCAGTGAAGCCGTTCCCGAAACTCCCAGACCTATCTCCAACATCGCAGGGTTCCACTTTGTAGAAAACTGGTATAACTGCCCCTCTCTCTTCCATGCATTCAAGAATCTTTACGAGTTCGTTCAGGCACCATTTTGAAGAAGCGTACTTTGGAGAGATGACAACGATGGCAAGCCTCGACTTTTCAATTGCCGGGAAGAGTTGAGAAACTTTCCTTCCTTGTTCAAGATCTTTCTCATCAAAGAAAGTTCTTGTGATTCCTTGTTCTTCCAATTCCTTAAGTAGATGGGCGGTGAAACCTAACCGCGTCTCACCGTTAAAACTCAAAAAGACATCGTACTTCCATTCAAGGGCTGAAGGAAGAGATGAAGTGGCTCGTTGGGTGCTCGATGCCATTGAATACAAGCCAACTGGAATGGTGGTATTAGTTTTTCAAGCATAAACATGACCAGAAAAACAATTCAGCATTCATAATATTATATTAGCCAATAACATGAACAGAAATAACCATGACTCAGAAAGATGATCAATAACCTGGGTGTATGTAGAAAACCAAGTCAGATTGGGCATGAGAGGGGCTGAAGGTCCTTCAGAGAAAAGGAAACACTTCGTCTCTGTGTACTTGCTACAAGTCTGTCTGTATGTCGTCAAGTCCAATCAGTGCTTAGGTACACCGAGTTGCCCGGTGGGCGTCGTCGTCCAACGAAACTTCACCGAGTAAGCTTGACGGACGTGATTCAACTGCTTCTTCTATCCGACGGTCAAACCGCGTAAGCTCTACTTTCCCTCTTTTTTACTTTTTGTGTAGGTCCATTATTATTTTTTTATTTTTTACAAGATTATATTCATACATTTCAAATTACGTATTCTACCTCCTTTTAACTTTGTAATATGTATTTATCAAATGGTAGTGGTATGTAGAAAATATTAAAAAGATGTGAAAAAAATAATTTAAAATATATGAATATAATCTCTTCATTTTTATACTATTGCAGAGCACACCGTTGTTGAATGTTTCTAACAAACACAAAATTTAATCGCATGCACTTCTTTTCTTCCAGAAACACACAATTTAATTTTCTTTAAGTTGACCCAGTGCGTTTACTTAGACAACGGTGTTGTTTGAACAAAAATAAGTAACTCTAACAAAAACTTTTTGATAGCAAACCAGAAATACACCTGAAATTTCTTGAACTACTTTATCTGAAATGAACACACTTAAATTTATCTTGAGTGTTGTAAACTCCTTTAAAATATTGATAGTCTAAACCGATCATTTTGAAGCGCTAACTTATTAGTAAGCTAATACGTTTCTAGCTACACATTTGAGCACATTTCACGAAGATTCATGATGATCCAAACGGATCATTTTGCATGCCACCATTGAATAAGGATTATTCATGTAAAATCTCACTCAAATCGATCATTGCTTACTTATCTGCTAACTGCAACACTTTAAGCAAACGAACATGGTAATTGGTAAACAATAAAATGTCACGATGATAATCAAGGGCTGAATCATTCCAATTTAGGTAATTTTTTGCACGAACGACTTTGTATTGATTACCCAAAAGAATGATTAAATTGTGAAATGACCCAAACAAATGACACCATATTAACTTGTTTTTTTTTTTTTTTTCATTTTCGGAAAACTATTAATCATCAAAATCTCAAGGGAGAGCGAACAAGAAACCAAATCAGCAGGCCAAACAAAGGACCATGGGCACTGCCTTTACACACTTCTAACAGAACGCAAAGAACCTTCCGATGTATGCCTCAGCCATCACCCGCCAACGATTTCTGGCGAGCAACCGGGCAAGAAGAGAAAGATGCTACATCTCCAGAGACAATGCTGCTTGTAAAGAGGAGAGGACTAACCCACAATAAATGCAAACCCGCCAATATTAAATTTCAACATCTCGAGTCCATGTGGTTGGTACGACAATTTGATACATACATACATACAACAAAGACACAAACAAGAAAGGAAAATTTGGCCAACCGTTAAAAACAAGCCGAGATCAAAGAAATCAAACAATAAGGTACATCAATACATTAAATTATATGCAATGCCCGCTAACATCTCGGAAATATACCAACTAAACAGCATAGACAAACCAAAACCGACAAAGTTCCTACCAATATTTATTTAGCAACAGGTAATCTCATGATCTCATATGTGTGTAAGTGAGGAATAAGGTCCAGAGCCGGACTGACTGATACGCTGATGGGCACAACTCAAAATGACCTATTCGGGTTTGAAGAAGACGACTTGGCTTTTGCAAAATCAACTAGATCCTTGAAAAGAGCATCTTCCTGTTTTACTTGTTTTGTTGGGGTAGACGAATTAAGGGAGAGATTCTGAGTCTGTCCCACTAAGTTGTCATAAGATGAACCAGATCCGCTGCCTGGAACGCTTTGTTTCTCAAAAAACTGTTGTCTCTGGTTATACCTGGAAGGCGGAGGTGGAAGGCTGACAGGAGAGTGACCCTTGCCAGGAGACTGAGGATTCCCCAGAGACTGAGTATCCCAAGGAGCAGGAGGTAGCCCATCTATAGATTTGCTTCTTGGAGCTGGTTCATCATATACAGGCTTTCCAGTGAATATAGGTGATGGAGTTGTGTTTTGGGAAGAAGGGGGTGAGGGTGATAGTGGAGTCAATCGTGAGGTGGAGCTGGAATGAACGGGAGCTGCAAAGGATGTGGATTGTGATGTTGCAGAGGATCCTTCAGATTTGTAGGCTTCTCCACTGAGATAATCAATCACACCAGGACCCAGAGTGATTGGCCTTTGCGAAGACGGTGGAGGAGGAAGAAGTGGGCTGACTTGCACAGGTTCAGCCTTGGCATTGGCTGATCTCTGGCCCTGTCCTTGTGAATTATCTCTTGATGACCTGCAATGCATCTTACTGAATTTTACTAAAGAGGATAAGAATATTAAAAGTAAAAAATTAACAGAATTTGCAATATTCATATTCTGAAGCACACACATACAAGTAAAATTGGTAGAAACAAAAACAAGTGAGAATGAAACGACAATACAAAATAAAACTTAGAAGTGCTCCTCTAACAATCACCTGTGCGCTAGTTGGGAAAATTCATCCTCGGACTCATCATCCTCATGGTTCACATTCACAAGTGGCACAACTGAAGATTCTGCTCCTCTTACTACAGTTGTAGTTCCCTTCACAATATCATCATGCCGAGAAATTACACGCTGCAGATCATCGTTCAGTGCCAATCCCTGACCTAGAAGCTCCTCATCTCTGAGAGGAAAGCAACCACAACTGTCACTATTGCATCAAATCTATGAGTAGAACTCAAATCCATATCAAATCACTTACGCAGTCTCATTCACAAGAAGCCTCACACGCTTTTGGTATGAACGGCACTGATCAACAAGGTCAACAATCACTTCTTCCTTCAAACCCTGCCATAGTATTTCATTTTGACCATTTATGACCATTAAATTTGCACATATTAAGAGCCCAGATGGTAAGATTATGATTTTGGTTCATTTTTTATTGTTTAGTAAAAGCCAAAGAGGAATTGTATGGGAGAAAAGAGGGAGAACAAAAGGGCTCAGATGGGTGAGCGTTAAAATGACTACGGAACGGTATTTAAACCAAAAAGCAAATCACTCTCAACTGTTCTATATTTCTCCGTCAAGTTTTTATTTCACCCATTCCCCTGCCCTTAAAGGTACTAAGTTTCGAGTAATTAACCACCTAATTCCGACCCTGCTAAAAGTCCCAACTTCAAAAATTTTTACAATCACAGTAATTGACACCCAATTACTAGCCTCCTTCACCTCTGGATAACTAGCCTTACAAATAAAGTTTTGTTATCAATATTTCTCCTCAAATAATTTACATACAGTGCATAAGTAAAGAAAAGTATGGACCATAAACATTCTCCACAATTGACCACATACAACTTTCAGAATTTTCTACTGTTGTAAGAGTCCCATATGAAACTTTCACCGCTAGATAACTCCGCACACAAAAACCAAAAATATAGAATCAATGGCCTCTCAACAAAAATATTTCTAGAAAAACATAAATAAGAAATTATCCTTTAATAATACCCTTTCGGAAAGAAATTAATCAGAAATAAAAAGTAAGGTAGAAAATATATCACCTCAGGATTCTTAGGATCCAAGGCATTAAGCATTTCCATCAACACAGCTGCAATTCCACGAGCATTCTGAATCTCTGGCAAGCTGATTAAAGACAGTTCCAATCAGGATGGATCTATCATAGCTTCAATAATAATTCATACAATTTATACCAAAAATAAAAAAGCATCCCAAAGCATAAAAAAAAGATAGCATCTGTTACAATATCATTACGTTTGAATTGTATGTATAGGTAATTATGGGGGATTCAGGAAAGATGGAATAACCATACAAAGAGGAGAAAAGATTTGAAGTCTATTGTTTGATTTTCTTATTAGCACAAAATTCAATCAAGCAAGGATGAATTCTTTCATAAATTACAGTTACGGATCATGACATTCAACAAGCAGCAGCTGAAATAGTTGTACAAGCATAAAAAATCGATGCCGACTGACATCTTTTATTAAAGATTAAGACCCTAGGACTGACGGGATTTATAATAGTAAGGACGTAAGAGACATCCTCATGTCAAGGGGAGAATTGATGAATGACAAGGTTAAGGCCTTTCAGATATATAGTCAAATTTTTCTGCAGTATTAAAGCATGCACAACACAATCAAATTTGATAATGAGAAAGGTATAATTTTTTTTTTTTTTCTTTGAAGAAGAAGAAGAAGAAGAAGAAGAAGAAAAATGAAAGAGAAACAATCGAATCGCCAATTTATGCAGTACAGCATAATGTAGAACATGCCATATTGAGGGGTTTAATCCTGGGACATTTTCCAATAGCCTACAAATATTTTTAACCTCTCTCATGCAATCAACACGCAAGTTTATAGTTGTGACAAACAGGCATGTGAAGGAAACAATAACTGTTTGAACAGGGAATAAATACCATACTGAAAAGAACCAAAAAATGTATGTTTCCAAGAAAACCATATTCTCAGCTAGTACCTAAGGCCCGATGCATCCGACTGGAGAGAAGCCTGAATGGCAGCATCATCATATGATGTAACAGGAGGAACTACTGGCTGGGTCTGGGGTGGAGTAAATATTGGTACACTGTTCTCTTCTCTTGGTGGAAATTCAACTCCAGCAGACTGTCGGTTATTCATTAAGAGGGTTAGGGGGAAGACGAAGCAGAATAAAGAGAACATAATTAAAATCCAGAGTTATACTAAATATTGAATAGCAAGCTTATATCTAAGTATTGCTGGCCAAAATGATGGAAATGTTATTTTGGACCTATTAAACATCATCAAAAGGTATAAAGGTAAATGAGTTGAAATCTAATTGTGTGAAAGCTGGGGTGTAGTTGCGTTTTTGTCAGACAAGGCAAGGCATAAGCCTCTCGGACATGAAATCTTATAGGAAGCATATAAATAATGCAATACTAATAAGTTGAAGTGCTAATGTGTAACTCAAGTATAATAAGAAATCCCAATAGGACCACATATAAATAATAATAGTCATTCAAGCATAATAACCAATCCCAAAAATAAAATACTCAATTGGTCATACAATATTCAAAACCCCAAAAGATAAACTCAGTTCACCCGAATAGAAACTAACATCACTATCATATTGGTCCAACAGACTGATGTGATAAGGGACTCTAGCAGTGACTTGCACTAGAGGAGGGTTTGCAAGATCACTATTACTTCCATTGTTCACAACATTTACTATGTTCTGTCAAAGCTGAAGGCACTTGGGCTGAACATGTTTACCCGTTAATCTTAACTTGACTAGGTCATATGATTAAACAGAAATGTTTAAAAACATTGCCTAATAAGCAACTCAAAAGAACAATGACAGCAAAGAATGTCAATGATTGGACCGGCTCAGACTGGTGATATCATAAATATATAACAACATGATTCTATTCTCTATATACTATATCCATTCTTCGAATAATGAAAGAAACATCCTATAAGGCAGTTTTAAAAGGAAATACTTTATAGAAGACGGTCTACTTTGATTAGTAAATCGAAAATTAGCAAGATAGTTCCATGGGAACACAGCACAAGTACACAGGCAGTATACATAGTACAGATTACAAACAAAAGCTTAGAATGAGTATAACAAAAATGCGATAAAACAATTACCCTCAATTCATTATATGCTGCATAATACTGGGGAAATCTTCCCCTTGGTCCCCCAAAAGCTTCTTGCCATGTATCTATCAAAATTAGTATCTTTTCCCTAACATTCAAGTCTGGCTGCATAATGAAATTAGAATAACAAAGCAGAAAGACAGTTAGTATCCTATTCATGCACAAACTGGAAAGAAAAAAGGAAGCAACAAGTCAGTGAAAACAGAAAACAAAAGGTTGGGAGAGAAATGCGGCACCTTCTTCTTTACTATTTTGACCATTTCATGCAAGATATCACGCTCAACGATCTGCTGAAAAACATTCTCACCACAGTTCTTGCTCACAGTCTCCAATGCCTGCATCGAATAATAAATTAGGAGAAGGAAAAAGACATCATTACTCAGAAATAGCTTGTTTTGTGTTGATGATACGCTAATGCAAGGCAATCATTGAACCACAACCGGTCCATCATAAATCACAAATTTATTGACATTTTCAAATGTATGTGTTAGGATTCTAATGGGATTACTAGTAGCTAAGAGTGGTTATAGAGCAATTGTGATTGTGCCAGATGTCATCATCTGAGTGATTGAGCTGTGAAAGTTATAATAAGGTTGTTAGTATAGCTGTAATTGGATAAAAATAGTTAGGGAGAGTTGCTACATAGCTCGGTTTGTAAGTAACAGAAAAACAGTTATGAAATAATATTGAAATTCATTTGTCAGTCTCTTTCTTCGAGCTCTCTCATGGCTTCTCTGAGTTAAGGTTGATCGATGATCTATCAGTATGAATATTTTGGGATGGGAAGGGTACCACAAGATTTACATCATGAATTTAATATTTTAAAAGAAAGATGCAAAAACATTACAAGAAATAACACAAAAAATACTGAAAGTCTCACAAAGAAAAAGGAATAGTACTAACAAAAAGAGCCAAGAGTTGTATTTTTGGATTTTTGCTGCCCAGGCGCTTCTTGAGTATCTTCAAGGCCTCTTTAGCTTGCCTGAAAGTTCAATCCAGTTCATTGGCAAAACAAAGCATTCCGAATATTTAAATTGGGAAAGAGATTCTATGGGAAAAATAATCTACGAAGTTTCCAGTTCATCCCAAATCAATGCAGCGAAAGCATTCTACTACCCTGTCAATTTTTCAAGTGTTACTTTTCAGGAGGACAGGATTTCCTTATGAGATGAGCCACATCTCCATTTCAGGAGGAGATCTCCTCTTCTATCAGGAGCCAAGTATTAAACTTCGTGTGTGTGTGTGCATGCACATGTATATATGAATACATAAATATATATACATAGGGAGAGAGAGAGAGAGAGAGAGAGAGAGAGAGAGAGAGAGATGAACATAGAACATAATTGGCGAATGTTATTTGACATCAGATGTTTTTACCATATCCTAGAATCCATTTAGAAATGTTTCTCTTGTTGGACATTTAGGATGAATCTATCCATGTACTACCACTTAATAAGCTATGAGCACTTTAAAGTTTCAACCAACAACTACGACATCAATATTTCAGAAAGATTCAACGTACTCAACAATTTAGGAAATGTGAACTCCAAACGGGTGGATATACCTATATATAATATTCAATCTAAAAAATGAAATTGAGGGAAAACAAAGTAATCATACCCAGGGTCCATATTGATAATATCACATAATTCAATATTTATTGCCCAGTCTGGACCAATCAACATATCACTTGTTGCCCTCTCTGCACAGGCCGCAGCATTACCAGCCATGTCGTAATCCCCTTCACACAAGTCTTTGTCCTTAAAACTTCCTAAATCAGAAGCCAAAAACAAGTTCAACTATGTACAGTCCTGACATTTGTGATGTAAAAGAACTTAATAAATGCTAGAAACGGAACATCATAAGACACCTGTCAGGCTATCACTAATTAGCTCGATGTCAGTAATCTTGTTCAATTCCAAAAGTTCCACAAATTATTTCTTACCCACCAAGACAAAACTTACGAAAATAACAATTCAATTACAAAATTGATCCAGAAAATATTAAAAACCCGAAATCGCAAACAAATAGGGTCCAAACAAATTCAACCATCTGCTCATCCCCATCACAAATACGTATCCCAAGTCAAAATAACAAGCAATCAGATCGTCAACAAAGTACGATTAACACCAATCCAAGTCCCACATCAAGAAACCCACAAAAATTTGTGCCCATAAAACACAGACAAGCAAAACCCAATTGGATATTAGTACTAAAATTGAAAATCAAGATTCGAATTAGCAAGATAATGGTCCTGTGCTTAAACCCAGTTGACCAAACGATCAGAGAATAAGAGAAAGGAATGAGAGGATTTGAGTATTTTGGGTGAGGATCTCGGGGAAAAAGCGTACCTGTGGAAACCCAATATCAAAGAGAATCAGAACCGACCGAAATGCCAAGATTTGAGAATTTGAGGAGAGAAATTGGGATAAATTAGGGGAGTGGGTTTTCGTTGGGGAATTCTCGCTTTTCTTTTTCTCTGTGTTGGGGATTGTTTGCTTGTTTGGTGTAATGTTTACTTGCGTCAGCCTTTGCTGTTAAGAAATTAGAACCAATACTTGTGACTAACTTTGCCTACAAAAATAAATTATAAGACAAAAGTCTCTTGTTTTTTTATTTTTACAGCAAAGCTGAATTTTCCGGGACTAATGCGTTTGTTTGCCGTCATTAAGCTTTATTATACTGGACTAAAAGTTAGTGCAGTCTCGTATTTATTATCCACACAAACTTACTTTTAATAAGATTATGTGGAATTTGACTTTAAAGTCTAAATTTTAGATTGTGTTATTCACACTTTTTTAATTTATTACATATTTTTGTTAATTTTTTTATTCATGTTCTTCATCTCATTCAATTTATAATTAAAAAAATTGAGAAGAGTGCGTAGAAAGTAAAAAAAAATAGCTTGTGGAAACACTAGTCTAAACTTTCCCCGCATGGTTGCTGTGCATGAGATTTGTAGCCATGGTCCTTTTCTCTTTCAAAAAAGCTTTCTTTGAATTTTAATTTGAATTTTAATTTTTTTGCACGCGAATTTATTTTGTTAAGAAATAGTAGCCACACAAAATTTCAGGTTTTTATATTCATAAACGGCAATGACAATTGATGTATGATAATTTAAAAGTTATTACTTTTGTTTAAATTTCAAGTTTATTTTTCATATCTAAACGAATGTATATTTGTTAATTAATTTTCTTCAGCCAAAATGAAACATCTTACAATAATCTTGATTTGTGATGAAATAGAATCCAAAAGAATTAAAAATATAATTGGTTTTGCATGATGCTAGTAAACAACATTTTCTCTTTAAATTTTGTTTCCTTCCCATGTGAATTGGAAGTTTTAATTTCCTAGGCGCTTCCTGTTTAGACTTTTCTTTGATTGCGAATGATCCTGACGGTGAACGCATTTCGGAAGTGGCGACTGGGCCCACATGAAGGTGGATTGGAAACGGCTGTATCGGTATTGGCGTTGAACTCTTTGAGCTCTGGGTGTGGAGTGGAATAAAAGTCAACTAAACCTAATATGATACCATGGTTGACTGGGTCAGCGGTCAGCCTCATCCCACCAACTTGTTCATCCCTCCAACATTTTCTCTCACATTTTGTTAACGAATATTAAATAATAATCAATTATAACATATTTAATTGAGTCATTGTCAGTTATAAAATATTTAATTCGTTGAAACATTTTTTTCATTTGTAAGTAAAACGTTTTAAATTTGCAGTATTGATGAATTCTGACTTTGTGAAGGCTAGTTGTACTTGTTGCGAGTGGTAACAGAAGCCAATGCTTGGAACTTGGGGTCTCTTCGCATCAAATGGCAGTAAGCCACCGATATTCATTCAAGTTCATCAACAGAAAAAGCAAAGTAAATTGCAGAGAATTTGATTTCAAAAATTTCTCTTTCGACGCACAATAACTCTCCTTCCAATAACTTCCATCAGTCTAAACAGAATTAATTAAGAATATCAACCGAATATTACCAAGTGGTCGGGGATTGGAATCGAACTAATGCTGAATAACAGCAAAAAACAAAATTATTATCAAACAAGGCCCTAAGTGTTTCACTTCAAGTTCCAGAATGGAGATTTGTAAAGGGTGCTCAATGGCAATATTCTAAAAAGCCCCGCCTACGGTTTCGGAGTATATTTACTGTAAGTGAAAATCAAAACTCATTATAAACAAGGATTGTAGCATCTTGAACGTTGATTTACTATTTTACGTTTTTCAGATAACTGTCAACAAACGAGAAGTAACAGTTTGGATGATTTAGTTCCTTGGTTTATCAACCTCTCATTTGTCTCAAAACATAACTATATTAATTATTCGTTTTAATGACAAGAGAAACTATATTAGTCACTTTGCTAATTGCAAATACTCAAAAGTTGCAGCAGTGCAATCAGTATACAAGAAAAGAGTAGCAAAGTATCATCACCTCAGAGCCGGTATAGCCTTCTCTTCTTCGGTGATAACGAGCTTGCCCTCTGTGAACTCACAAGCTGCAATGGGAACGCTGAGCTGCTTCTGCAGCTTCTTCACAACAAAAACTTGTGACTCTTCGCATATTGTTACGACAGTGCCCTTCCGGCCAAGCCGGCCAGTCCGACCAGCTCGATGTGCATAATGAATTGAGTCAGTGGGCAAGTCCAGATTGACAACAAGATCACATTCTGCGACATCCAAACCCCTCGCTGAAAGTTCATTTGTCACCAGGATTCTAACCTCCCCGTTTTTAAACTTTTTCAGAGTTGTTGTTCTACCAAGTTTACCAAGATCCCCATGTAGCTCTGCTGCTACCATTCCACGAGCCTCCAGCTTGAAGACGGTATCTTTAAGCTGCTTAGTGTGGTTCATGAAGACTATAACAGACTTGGCATCAAGAGCATGAACACATCTTCTCAACGCATCAACCTTGTGTTGTATCTTTGTGACACAGTAGTAGTGTTTAAGAGATGGAGGTAGGCTCTGTATTGCAGACTGACCTTGCAAATTTTGGGATGGATCGGAATTGGTCGATGGTCCTGACAAATTAATGGGCCCCGTTGGAGAAATAGATTCAATGGACATGACTTTTTTGGCTTGGATGAGAAGTGGATCGTGCCCCCAGCTCCTGGCTGCCCGTATCACTGAGAATGGTACTGTGGCAGAAACCAAAACGGTCTGACGCTCAGCCCGCTTGGCAAGTGATCCTTTTGGTCCATGCGAGTCTCCAGTAGATTTCCTCCCAACATGTTCCAATATCCGGTGCATGTCCTCCCGAAAATTAAATGATAGCAGCTGATCAACCTCATCTAAGACCAAGAAACGACAGCCGTGGGTGTGAAGCTTACCAGCTGCACTAATCTCCGAAAGCCTTCCTGGGGTTCCAACAACAATGGAAGGTTTATTTTTCCTCAGCGCTTCTTCCTGCCTTGTTCGATTTGCGCCCCCAACAAGCTGCTGCACCACTTTTTTGTGTGCAGGCCCTAATATCTTCTCAAACTCTCTCACAATTTGCATACCCAGCTCCCTAGAAGGAGCCACAATTACTGCTTCTATATCTGTTTTCTTCCCAGGTTCACCATCGCCCTCAGATGTTCTCGTCTTTAGAGGGCCCACTTCAGAAAGGACGGGAAGAAGATAAGCCAACGTCTTTCCTGAGCCCGTGTAAGATTGAATTACAACATCATGATCTTCAAGAATTGTTGGAATTGCAGTGGCTTGAACATCAGTTGGAGTCTTGAAGCCTTCCTTCTCTAACCTCTCGATCAACAAAGGTGGAAGGCCGAGCTCAAAAAACGACTTCGCATTAAAGATACTCGAATCTATTTCAAGTGATCTGTGTGGCCCAGCTGCCTTCACTACATGGCTTCTAACCACCTTGGCTTTACTCTTCGGGACCTCTGTAAGCAACTTCAGCACCTTGACTTCATTGATTTTCCCGTTCTCTGGCGTTTCAAGATCGCCTTTGAAGCCAAGACTTGCAAGACTCAGACTACAAACACTTCTATGGAACCAAGCATTCCGAGAAACATGTGGAAACCTATGCAAGGAGAGAGACTCTCCAAAAAGGAGCAACCTTGGCGAGATTAATGCTGGCATCTTTAATAGTCCCCACCAGTAATTACTAATTAGATACCATCGGATTGAACTCAGAGCTGGAAATTCGGATTTGAGATGAAACAAGAATTACATGATAGGACCGAAACAGAATACGTATCTCAACATCGTATTAACAGATACTTAATAACTATCAGGAAATAGCTACTGAACCAAAAATCAGATCAGTAAAAAGTATGGAAACACTTCATCTGACATTAAAACGAAATGGAAAATGCACCATACGAACAGATTAGTAACTTAAATTAGTACGAATTTACGAAAACAGCATCAGGATTAGAAATTTCATGACCAAATGTAACACATCTAGCATCTATATACTACATAATCCATGAAATATTTGAAAGAATGGAAGCTAAAAGAATCAAAACAGATAACTGTGTCCAAATATTAAATTTTGTTCTTCCAAATTTGACAACACAACAGATAAGATTAGAATTACATTTACAGCAGCAAATATATATACAACAAACAGAAAACAGAAGCAATTCAGCAACACAGCGAAGCTCAACTCAGAGCAAATTGGAAATCAAACCCTAAACTAGAAATGGAGAAATACCTTTTAATGGTAACGGGTTACGTCGTCGGAATGGAAGCCGCCTAGGAAGAACTGAGGAAGAAGAAGAAGATAGGAAGGGCGGAAGAAACTGATTCGGACCACAAGTTCCACTTGAGAAAGGGTTTAAAAGGGGGACTGCGGGAGGAGAGAACTGCCGGGTTTACGGATGAGGTTCTACGGTTATGAATGGCTAAGGATGGGCTTGGTGACTTGGGTCAGCTGGGCTTCCGATCCTAAAAAAACTATGAAAATAAATAGAGTGGTTCTTTGTACATCAAAGTTTCGTCTCAAGACACCTTGGTTTCTTTGAAATTTTGAATACTCAATTTATTCTTACACCTTTCTTTGGACATCCAAAATAAGTTACTAAACTTTCAAAAATACTCTTCTTTTAAGATTCAGAGAGGATCTGGATCTGTTTCAAAACACTATTGATGTCCAAAGAAAATAACTGGTTTCCTTAAGAAATTATTGAGCCATTTGTGGTAGTTTTGTATTGATTATAGAGTCATTTTTTAAAATAAAATTAATAAACGTTCAGAGACAAAACTTGAGTATACAAAGAACCACTCCTGAGTAAATTATGGTGTGGATGGAGGTTTTGGGCTACTAGGGGCATATCCAAGCTCGTTCATTTTGAGTTCAACAACATTAGTAGGCAAGGAACCGGATCACCTATGGACTCAAAGGAACTGAGCCCAAGGATCAAATGATTCGAGGCATTGAAATTTGATCCAACGGCTACAATTATTATAACTTTTAGAGGGCACCCTGTTTGTAGCCATTTGATCAAATTTTAATAGCCCGAATCATTAGATGAGTGGGCTTAGTTCTTTTGGATCCGGAGGGGATCCGATTCTAGTAGGCAAGGGATAGAAAAAGCTTTGTCGGCAGTTCCCTTCGTCAACCCTTTAGCAACAAGGCACCCAAAAGTCCATGCCTTAATCTGGATCAACAGAGAAGTGTTTGAGATGTGTTTTTGTGTGGAAGTGACATCGAGTAGAAAGTGTTTGGAATCCATCACATTGATTAACATCTCTCGTTTTACTATAGAAATTGTCGCTTATCCTCTCTAACAAACGAGGCTACAAAGTATATCCATAGACTAAATTGATTCAGTTGGAATTTAGAATTATGAGGCCAAATTAATGAAACGATTAAAACAAATAAACCATTTTGATATTCAACCTAATTCGGCCTTAGGCCGACACGACCTTCGGCGGCCTTGAGGCATTGATATTGTGCCCACCCCAAATACTTGGAATATTTGAATAAAAGTAACAAACTAAAATAAAGGCGAATGGCATTTTGCTGTCAAGGTTCTAGAACAAGTTGATCTGCGAAATAATAAAGGAAATAGAGAAATATAATAATCCTAGCAATTTAGTCATACGGGTTTTCTCTTTTATTTGTTTATCTTAACAAATTAAAAGATAATTAAAGGATAAAAATAAAGAACAAGACAAGTGCAGACGCGCTACCTTTGTATTATAACTACTTTGGTTGTTCCATGTGCATGTAATTGGAATATTGAAGAAAGTTCACATTTTACTGTAAAAGTAATTGACGATATGAAGAGTAATTCAATTTCTTATAAGTACATACAAAATTCCTTCTTTTTTTTTTTTTTGGATGTGAGATTCATCCTCATCAGTTAGGCCCTTGACAAAAAATGATAATAATTCTTGTGATATCAGTAAGCTCCTTATAATCTCTTTTATTCTCTATATTTCTATGCTTTATTTTGAACACTTGCAAAGTAGTCAAGCAACAACCACATACATTATTATTTTGTTCTCTGTGTCAATAATTAGTTAGTGTTTGGTCAGAGCAGGATGGAATCATCACTCAGTTTTCCATACATTATTTTTTCTTTTTTTATAATGTCAATCAAATTCCTCCTTCCATGCTTACAAGTGTGGCATGTTATGGCAAGAAAAATATGTGCCTCCCTACCTACCTCAAAACATAGATCATTATTTTCTTTCAAGTTACGTACAAAACATCTTCATGAACTTTTAAGCCAAGCTCAAACAATTTCCTTCGTTTATTTCCTAAGAAGAAGCCAACAATATCTTACATACTATAGGTTCAAATACTTGTGAAATCAACAACAGGAATACACATTCAGCAAGCACGATCTGTTATTGGTGCTCCGTTACTTGACATGACCATTATTCTCAACAGCGCCTTCATATATTTGAGAGTTTATCATCCGATATTAGATACTCTCAATCATAGTTAGTAAATTTGTGTATAATACACGTATTACACACATGTACATATTTTCTTAAAATACTTATGTTTTTCCGTGCACGTCTTAATGATTCGTTGAATTACACATTTTTTTTAACTCCAACATATGATATATGAATTGATTATACATGTATTTACGTACTTTTACATTTAATACACGTTATTTAGACATGTTTTTTTTTAAATAATACACATAAAATTCATATATTCCCTATGTATTTTTAACATATTATTAAAAATAATACTAATTTTTAAATTTCTTAAAAAATGGCTGGACTTTTTCAAGATATATTTTTAACAAAGTTGTCGAATAATACCCATATGTATTTATTACGTATTACTTCTTGTGTATTTTACCAACTATGATCTCAACACTATTAGCTACCAATTCACGAATTTTTTCTACAAATTTTCATCTTGTCCATTTTTGTATAGTAGTACTCATTAGTAAATAATTTTTTTTAAATCAAAACAACAATGTCGCTTCCACTCCAATATTACTATCATGAAAAAAGACATTATTGTGAGTATACATTGAAGAAAAAAAAATAAAGATACAATAAGTTAGAGGGAACATGAAGCCAAACCCTAAGAAGAAGTAGAAAACTATTGGAAACGAAAATCAATTAAGACAACTACTAAGAGAAACAAAAATTTGGAAGCGCCGAAAGATTATGAGCAAAAGGTGCACTTGCACACAACAAACAAGAATTCCACCAATGAACCCCAACATGATCAACACCATAGTTTGCCAAACAATCTACCACCTAATTTCCTATGCAATAAATGCAAGAAAACTGAATATGCATAGAAGATAGAATGGTACAACAATTTTCCAATCAATTGATAAACGCCAAGGCACCTGAGAAGATCCATTAAAAAGAAAATGTATTGTTAAAGAAGAATCACACTCAATCCAAAAAGAATGCCAACCCCTCTCCAAAGCCATATAAACATCATGAATAATAGCTTTAAGTTCTACCTCTGAGGCAGTAGTAATGCCAAAAGATCTTGCAAAGTATCCAAGACAATGACCCAAGTGGTCAAGGAAAAATACCACCAAAATCAGCCATGCCGGGAGAACCTCACCGCCAATGTTAACATTAACTTGAAAAACACAAGGAGAAAGTCAAAGAACCTTGTGAATTATGTGCGTCTTTAAAGGTCATCCATGCACTTGAAGCGCACTGAGAATGCAAAGCTCATCAACTGAGTATAACATAAAAAACCCATAGCCCAAGAATTTACCTCACAAACATGCAAGCAAATGCCACTAACCAACTGTAAACATTTTTCCTTCAAAGCGGAAAAATTTTAAGCTTGCCAAAGTGAGTAAAAATTTGTCTCAATCATACCCCCACCATAATAACTGATGTTGAGTACTGAAACCACGCCTAAAAGGATAACACAAAAAATAAAAAAAATATTGGAGAATAACGCAAAAACTTGAAATAAGGCTAACGCCTTACACCAAAATTGCTAAAGAAAATGAGCACTCGGAAAACAACTGATGAGTAGATTCAATAGCATTACAACACAAAGAGCACATCGATACAAAAGAGAACCCTCGGTGAAGCAAATTAGTAAAGGATAGTGCTTTTGTCTCCCCATGGGGGACTTGCTCGTCCCTCCACATATGATTAACAAACCTTTACCATCCGAACATCATAATCAGAACCATTCAATCTCTTTATCATCATCTAAAAATTGTATCTGCAACAAATAATCAATTTGGAGATCGTTTAGTCATCCACATGCATAAAACAAATGGACAATTCATCATGAAGTTGCTGCTTGGTACCAAAACCGTTGATTGATTTAATACACATGGATGACTAGACAATCTTCACCTTAAATGATTTTTTACAGATATAATCTTTAAATAATTATAAAAAGAGTGAATGGTTCCTTCTACGATATTTGAACGATAAATGTTCGGTAATCTTAAATCGAGGGACAAGTCCCCATAATAAGAGGACACAATCATATTCCATTAGTTAACTATAATTCATTACAAACCGTTGAAGCATATATATATATAATATAATATATATATATATATATTAATTCATTACAAACCGTTGAAGCCTAACTCATCCTTCCCACCGACCTTTTAATGAATTTTTTAATTACAAATTTGTCAATTTGTAAAATGATTAATAAGGACCTTAGTTACCCCATTTTGCATTACTTTTTCTTTATATATATAAAATAAAAAAGAAAAGTTTGGATATGATAACTCTCACGCTCTGTTTAGACGATTTGTCTCCTTTAAACCCTAACTCATCCTTCCCATTTCCTTTCATTCAGAGAAAGCAAAAAGAATGAACTTAGAAGATGATGTTTCTATGGAATAAGTAGATGATTATGTTTCCGTCGAAAAGGTAAAAGATAATTTTATGTAGGTCATCTTGATTTGTTGACATCGTATAATTGAAGCATAGCTCTGTGATTTTTTATCTCTAATTATATATATATATATTAAGGGTTATTTTAGGACTAATAGTGGGTGGGAAAATAACATTTTAATTTTTTAACATTTTATAGTGGATGTAAATATAACGTGGATGGGAAAATAAGACAACGGAATGAATCTAACTGCTATCATATATATAATGCAACACTCACCTCTCAGTAAGTAGACGTCGGAACATAAATCCAATTAAACAAAGGGGAATAAAAAATTAAAAAGAAAAAAAAATATATATATACACACACACACACCAGCTCTTCCAAAAACTGCAAGAATATACACAAGCAACGGCAAATTTTCTTTTGCAATATTCGACTATATCTCTAAAGCATATTTTTATTTGAGACGTAATTACACAAACACTTAATTAAACACTTAATTAAATATTAATCTCCAGTTTGTATTGTATCTAGAAGGCAGGCAAGGCAATCCATTCAATCCTTCCTCTTGTTCTTCTTGAGCAGGATGAACGACCAGCAGCCGCGACTCTTGCGTCTGCAATTATTCAAGCAGAAAAACACCATTAAGAAAAAAAACCAAATAAATTAAAGACAAAAAATTAGGATGAGTTGAATATTCTGTGGTGCGTAGGACTAAAGATTGAAAGTGATGTGTACATTTTGTCACCCATTCGATCATTCGAACGGCCCATTTATAAGTCATGGTGCTACTAAATATAAAAACATCTATATACATATATATGCCTAAAAATTGATATATAATGTTTCATATTATAAGAAAAACACTTCAAACTCCAAACTTTATAAAAGCAATTGGTATAATATAAAAGGAATTTCTTGCACTAAGGTGGCATATGAGTTTAATTCTAATACGTAGAAATCAAACCCTCTGAGTTTAATTCTTATAATCCTAGTTTTAAGAATCAATACAACAAGTTAACTTATATTTATTTTATTTATAAAACTTATAGTTGTTAGGGTGTCTGTACTAATTTAAAATTTTTGTAGGCCCTACCTTGAAATTTTTCATAAACGAAAAATATCTGACCATAGTTTTAAAATACTAGAATAATATAATGTTTTGTAAACGTCACAACAATTTTGTAATGGTGACAAATTCTAGAAGGCCCCTTCCCCAAACTTGCACAACTTGTGCACCAAACAATCCTTTATATATATCTTTCAATCTTAGTCGTGACATTTGGCAAATCAGCTTCTAGAATGTTAGTGAGATACATGCAACTCAACCACTCTCACACGTTTTATGGCTTTACTTTCTTGCTTTCCCCTTTCTCTCTTTCGTTAATGGAGACTTTGATATTTAGGAACTTCAGATAAACTTTCCGCTTCACCCAAAATTTCTAAATGTTGACTTAGAGGAATTCGGCACGCACTGCCCAAGAAACTCACTGTATAACGACTCGTACTAAAAATATCCCAATTTAAATAGGTTTTGGTTTTTAAGTTTTTAATACTTCTCTCATGAAATCAATAAACTCAAGACTCCCATGTTTCATCGAGAAAAATGACTTGCTTTGCAATTTTAACACAATCATGGAAATAAGGAAGATGAATTGAAGACAATACTGAAAATTAAAGAGAGCGGTTTTCAAAATAAAATATATAAATCAACTTTCCTTTACCGGACTAACTTGCTAAAAAGTGATACGAACTCCAATTTTAAAAATTCAAATTTAGATTAGATTAAATTAGAATATCGCTCGAATGAAAATGAAATTACGTGATAAAATTGATAACATACCTGCTGTTGCTTCTGCTGCTACAACTACTGCTGCTGCTACTGCTGCCGCTGCTTTTCATGCTCCCACTATTGATGCTAGAAACACCACTTTCACTCCTTTCTGATACAGAAACTCTCTTCATCTTCCACCATTCATTATCCACACCCACTCCCTTCACAGATCCATCTACCCCCTGAGGCTTTGGAGACACCTTCGCACTCGTATTATTGCTATTTGCACCCACTGCCAAACACTCACCCTTCTTCTTAATGCTCTTGTTGTTGTTCTTCTTACCCCCCAAAGAAATTGGCAAAACCATCTTCAAAAGAAACCCCCCACTATCTATACTCGCACTCCTCATCACCATTTTCTTTCTCGCACCATTGTTCTTCCTTTCGTTTACGCTTCCGTTTCCATTTCCCATCCTGATCATCAAATTCTCAGTACTTCTATTATCATCTTCTTCCTCTTGATCTCGATCTTCTTCTGCACCACCCATTGTCCTATACTTATGCTCGACGAGATCTTTCAGTGAAAGCTCATAGCACGGCTCGGGCATGTTCTTCACCATCTCCATCAGCTCCCTCTGTCCTCTGGCAATCGCTTGCGTTCTCGAAGTCGGGGAAAGACTCCGGTAGTTGTTCACGCGGTTCGTCGTCTTCCACAACGGCGGCGAGTCAGACTCATCATAGGGGGCAGCAGGAGTAGTATCGACGTTGATACGGGCGTTCATGCTGTTCCAACTCCTGTAGTTTGCATAATTTTGAGCAGTTTTCTGAGCCCGGGAAGCGTAATTTACGGCCTGCCAAGAATCGTAGGTTGTTGTGTCCCCTTTAATTTGGTCGTCGGCGCCGCTGTTGAAGAGGAAAGGGTGTTCATGTGTGTTTGTGTTGGGATCAAGCATGGTGTTTGTTTCCTGGGAAAATTTTGAGGGGAAATGGAAGGAAAGTGATGGAAGAAGAAAGAAAATGGGGATTGTGTGAAGGGTAGGGTTGTTGTAGTTAGTGTGCTTGAAGCAGGGATTGCCAGGTGGGTGGGTGCTGGGCGTTATCACCGACCCGTTTTTTCTTTTGGTGTATTTGTCATTTTCTTGGCACCAAAGTTTTTAATGGGGATATCAGGCAGGGGGTCAAGGGGTTCTAGATGGGGGCTGTGCTGGGTGGATGTGATTACCTTACTTGTCCTCTCTGTATTTTCTCTTTGTTTGTTCCTTTTTCTTTTGTCTTTTGAGGAGGAGCTAAGATGCTAACTTATTAGGCTTTTAATTCCTTTTTTCTCTGCTAGATTTGTAGGCTATTTATTTCAATAAAATATTGTACTTAAAAATAAATAAATAAATAAATCGGTTTGAGCAATACTTTATTTTTTATTTATTCGAGTTTAAGTCAAGTTCTTACAATATTTACATCTCCGTGACATAATTATTATTTCGATCGTCAAATGATGATTGTGTTAAATACGTAAATTCATATAAATTATATCTTACCGTTAGATAGTTATTGTATTAAATCATGTAAGTACTATAGTCAATCTTGAGAATTTGAAGAGTCTTCAAAACGTTTAATTCCAATCAGAATTACTTTTAAAATTCAAAAACCTAGAAAGAGGAAGAGTCACCAAGATAAGAGCTAGGTAAGTAGCCGTTGGAGCAGAAGTTTCCACCCTCCGCCTAATGAGCAAGTAACCTCCCTCCTCCCAGGTACGACGAGACTAGTCTGATCAAGAGATAGGAGATGATCATTTAGTTATAGCTCTTATTATCTTAGTTGCTTTTGAAAATGTGAAGGATTTTTCTTTTTATTATTATTATTTTTTAATGAATTTGGAGGATTTTATAGTGAAATTTAGACTTTAAGAAGTCAAGTCCCCCTCTGCTATATTTTGAGGGAGTCTATTCAAATCTGCATAGTCTATGAAAGTTCATTAAAACTCTCTCAAACCCCATGAAGGGTTGTTGTACTAACACCATACATGGTGTATTCAACAATATATGAGATACCGCTAAACAATTAGTCCATGAATTTATAACTTAAAATCCTTCAAACTTTAATTGAGTACACCTCAATTTATTTTATATTAGAATATCGCTCCAATCAAAATATATTCATTTTTTGAAGGGAACTTTAACGAAAAGTTCCTGTTTATTTTAACAAAAAATCACATTTTTACACTAAAAAGTCAATCATGGTACTATTATTCTTTATTTTGTCTTTATCGTTAAAACTCAAAGTTTTAAAGCCTTTTTCATTAGTTTTCTTTTTTTTAATGATACATTTAGAAGAAGAGGTTATGAATTTAAGCTAAGCTACACAATTAGAATGTCATAATAATTTAGTGTCGAACTTACCATCCACGAGAGTTTAACACAAAACTTAACATGTTTTTTTTTTTGAACAAGTAATATTATCTATACTAAGAGGGTGGAGGAGTGAACAAAGCATCACAACGGACGAGCCATAATAATGTGATTTAAATTCTTCTTTTGTAAGAATCAAATCTAAGACTTTTTACTTACAAGTAAATACTACTAAACCGTAATGGTAAGTAATTAAAAACTTCACACTTTAAGACAAGAGAAATAAGCTTGAATTGTAGTATTAAATGGTGGAGATAGCTGTTTAGATTTGGATGGACTGAAATGAGCCGCATGTCCCATTCCTTTGTCTTAATTTATTATTTCTTGACTTTTTGGTTTTGTGTTTTGCTACTATAAATGATATCCTGTAACGTCTATATATATCTTAAAGTGTAGTTTATTATAGCTTGATTAATCTAATCATACTTTAATTTTGTAGTTGCCTTTATAAAAAGAGAAAAAAGGAAAGAAATAAAGGGCAATATCGAACAGCAAAAGCTCCTTCTGCCTGCTTAGTGCTAGTAATTATGTTGTCTGATTAGACAAACTATTGGAGGAGGAGGTCTTTGCTTTAAGTTTCACCCTTCCTTTTAAGGCCTTACTCGTTTCTCCACTTTTAGCGACTAACTGCTAACCTGGCCCCACTTTCTTTAATATAATAATCTCCCCTTCCTGAATTGGCTCCAGAAAACATGAGAGCCAAATATTTTTTTTTATTATCTAAATTTTCTATTAATAGTATTTTCTTTTGTAAATTAAAAGAAAGCGACAAAATTATTTAGCTTCTTACTACAGAAAGAATGTTAAGTAATAATGTAATTTTATAAAATTAAATTTTGTTTTTTTTAATCTCATGTAGATGCGATTTTAGCATAGATTTAATATTAAAAGAATAAAACAAAAAATCATCTAAATATACCATTCTTATGTTGCAATTGAAGTAGACATTTACATCGATTAAAAAAAATCTTATTTTAAGGTGGATATTTACAATTTTACATCAATGATTTTTATTAATAAAATTATTAAAAAATAATGATGAAATCCACTTGCTCACGTTTTCGAGAAATTTTTTGAGGTACCGGATACCCCAGTTGAGTTGGTATTCCTAGCGAATAGAAGCTTGACATGTAATTATCCAAGTTTTTAATTAAGAAAATGTCAGACTAGCATTTTTTTTTTTTAATAACAAATTTTCTAATTTACCCCAAAGCCTAACAGAAATTGAGAATAATCACCCTCAGCACCACCCAACCCAGTGCCGGCAAGAACTCAGCCAAGACAATCACCCACCTCAATCGAAGCTGATAATTTTCACTGGAGAATGTTGAAGTTAATATTTTCACTGGAAACTGATCGACGACACTCCGACCTTCAAATTAGATGTCGCCGACCTCCGATCGAAGCATGAGGGTAGTCGCGGGCAACTTCTAGGATCTTTCTCCGGTGTAAGGGATGAGTAGAGTGAAAAATTGGAAGAGAAGGATATAGAAAGAGAAAGGGAGAGAGACAGAGAGAGAGAGAGAGAGTGACGGCGAGGGGAGACGGAGATGGGTGGGAGTGGGGTGAAGGTCGGAGACTCGGGACGACGATCTGGGTTCAACGGTTTTGTTTTAACTTTTTATGTTTTTTTTTATATAATTATTTTCTGAAAATGTTTTGTTAGGGACTAACTAGGAAGAGAGTAATTCAAGTGCCAACGTGTGCAATACAAAAAGAAGATAGCCAGGTGTCGGGTGTCTATTGGTGGGGAACACCAGCTGTATTGAGTACCCAGTACCCATAAAAATTTCTCCACGTTTTCAACCTCACCGCTTGGCCGAACCCCTTCGTCACTGCTAACTGGCCGAATAACTACCTGATGGTGCTCCAGCGGCCGGCAGTGGTTGTTTTGATCTGCCACCAACTCCAAGTTTGCAATTTCAATGGTTTATGCTTTCTAGCCGAACTTTGAATTTTCACTGGAATTATCTTCCGTTTGACTCAGATCAGTTGGAAGGATGAAGCGTACACAGGAGCTGAACATAGAAGGTTTAAGCAGCCAAAAAAATAAAAATAAAAAACCAGAAATTCGACCTAGGTTGATACTTAAACTTCACAGTATGTGTATACTAAATGCGGTATAATAAGATGATAATAATAGTATTTATTGAAAAATCTGTCTTCAAACTCCTATTCTCCGTTCTCTCTCTTCCTCTCACATTCTTATTTTAAAAATAAGAATAAAAAATATTCACAAAGACGAAGTGCGTAGACATTTGCTAATTTTATTTAATAAGGAAATTGAACTATTGACATTGGCTTGAGGTAAAATTCTCTTTACAACTCAAATTATAAATTATTAGTAAATGCCCCAACATAAAGTGTATGTGAAATTTTTTATTTTTGTTTTTAAAATTGAAGGAGGGAGGAAGAGAGTGAGAAAGGTGGGAGTGGGCCCTGAGAGAGGTTTATTTTGTATTTTTGTTATGATAAAAGGCTAAATAGTTGTTTACTATTTTTTAGTTGATAAAGATGATTATATTAATATGTAATTTATATTAGTATGAATTTAGTTTGTTTTTATTCGTGCAATATTTTAATCTAAAATTCAAGAAATTTTAGGGTTTTAGGAATTTTATCTAATATATAATCATCCAAGATATTTCATCAAGCAGTCTTACTTCCATTTTTCTTGAAAAGGGCGATTTTTAAGTTTTTACTTTATATAAGCGGTATTATTTGCAATGCCTTTTAGAACTTGGACTTGATGAAGGCTTATTATTTGCAACGCCTTTTAGAACTTGGGCTTGATCTCAGTTTCATTTCTGGTATAATTTTACACCCAAATTCGGAGGGCATTTAGTTCACACCACACTAGTTTGACAAGCTCGTACTTCTTTTTTTTTTTTTTTTTTTTTTCTTGGTTGGAATAACAACATGGTAATTCTATGCTTACATGGAATTTATTCCCAACAAATTCAATTCAATTTTTGAATTGAATTTGACAAATTTGAAATTAAAATCGCACTAAACTAGACAAAATGGTCTAATTCGACCAGTTTTCGAGCCCAACTCTAATTTGAATCAATAACATCATATGAAACAATGTGTGTCATTTGATAACTATTTTAATTTTTTAGCTTCGAAACAATTAAAAACAAACTGAATATCAAACTCCCTAAAAAAATTCTCCAATTGGAGGTTTATTTTACCTTTCTTTGAGTTCTTATTTTAAAGGCATAGAATTTGTATTAAATTATTCATGGGCGGCAATTCCAAACGGCAATTGCAACAACATATGCATGGGCGGCAATTCTCTGTTAAACCTTCTTCTCTGCGACAAAGGTCATCTGACAAAACCCTCAAATCCCGCCACCGCCAAAGCCGTTACCACCACCATTCTCAACCACCTCGACTCCGGCCGTCTCCGAAAAGCCGTCTCAATCCTCTTTTATGCCCCATTCCCCTTCCATTTTTCTTTATACGCTCGACTCTTCCAGCTCTGTTCCTCCACTGGCAGCCGCGCCATTGTCGAGGCTCGCAAGGTCGAGTCCCATTTGTTTACTTTCTCCCCCACCCCGCCGGTGTTTCTAGTGAACCGTGCCATTGAGGCCTTCGCGAAATGCGGGTCTCTGGGGGATGCGAGGGAGCTGTTCGAGGAAATGCCTCAGAGAGACGGGGGGTCTTGGAATGCTCTGATAACGGCTTGCTCACAAAGTGGATCTCCTGAGGAAGCCTTTCGCTTGTTTGTGAAAACGAGTAGGTCAGGTTTTTTGCCGAATGAGATTACGTTTGCTAGTGTTCTTGGCTCCTGTGCTGCTGTTTTGGCGCTTTCGCTTTCGAGGCAGGTTCATGGGCTAATTGTCAAGTATGGTTTTGGCGGGAATGTGGTTATAGGGAGTTCACTTGTTGACATATACGGGAAATGCGTGATTATGGATGATGCCCGTAAAATATTTGACGAGATTAAGAACCCGAATGCCATTTCATGGAACATAATCGTGAGGCGGTATCTGGAGATGGGTGAAGGAGAGGAGGCAATAGTTATGTTTTTCCATATGTTTAAGGCAGCTGTAAGGCCACTTAAGTTTACCTTTTCTAATGCTCTTGTTGCTTGTTCGAGTATTTCTGCACTTGATGAGGGGATACAGATTCATGGAGTTGCAATTAAAATGGGGTTTGATGACGATGAGATTGTTTCAAGCTCCCTTATCGATATGTATGCCAAGTGTGGGGATTTAGAGAGTGCCAGTGCAATTTTTGACCAGCCCAATTCAAAAGATGTGATTTCTTGGACTTCAATTGTTTCTGGGTATGCAATGAGTGGACAGACATGGAAGGCCAGAGAGCTCTTCGATGAGATGCCCGAACGCAATGTAATATCTTGGAATGCAATGCTGGCCGGGTATACTCGTTACTTCCAGTGGGAAGAGGCAGTGGATTTTATATTTTTGATGCGGAACACAACCAATAATATAGATCAAGTCACTCTTGGGTTGATCCTCAAGGTGTGTGCTGGCCTTTCAGATGTGGAATTGGGGAAACAGGTGCATGGATTCATATACCGGCACGGTTTCTCTTCCAGTATATTTGTTGGCAATGGCCTTCTTCACATGTATAGTAAATGTGGGAAAATGAGAAGTGCCAAAACTGTCTGGTTTCACCAAATTAGTCACTGGCGGGATAAAGTTTCTTCAAATGCTTTGTTGAGTAGCTATGCTCGTCGTGGCCGGAGTGAACTAGCTATGACAATTTTCTGCGAGATGCAATGGTAGGAAACACCGGATTAGTTTACGTTTTCAGTTCTCCATGCAGCTTGCGCAAATATTTTTGCTCTTGAGCAAGGCAAACAAATACACGGTTTCATGATCAGAAATGGTTACACAAGGGATACACCCTTTCTCCTCTTTTTTTCCTGTACGCTTCGCTTCTGATAGCGTTGCATTAACCGACCTATCTTGTAACTTATTACTTAACTGATGCAGAAACAGGCAAACAAAAATAGTGAAGGCTTTGCTAGCAGCCATACTCAATTAAATTTCGTGCATTGAATTACTGTTTTATTGATTTGTTAAAAGTATTTTACGAAGAACATTCGTAAGAATCTAAAGCATAAACAGCATGCATTTTCGAGTACGGTTGAGGGTCTAACTTCTAAGGGTTGTATGGTGTTAATTCTGGTTCTAGCGTTCAAAGAGGTCCTAATTTTGAAATCCCCCTCTGACTGATCAAAATAAAAATCAACCAAACATAGATTATAAGCCCTAACCCTAACCTTGGTAAGATCTTACAAGATTAAAGGCATAACTTGTAAGCAGCCAGACATGGCGGTAGCCACATTGTTTACGACGGATGTTCTCTCTCTATGCACCGAGCTCGAATTTCCCAATCTCCCTTTCTGCAATTTAGTCTAGTTTTAAAGCCGGATGAAACACTTAACAAAAACTGGATTCTACTGAGGAAACTTCCACATATTATGAGTCCATTGCCCACCACACATTTCTTTTCAAGTTTAAATGAGGTGTAATTGACTGTATCTCAATTGAGTTAACCATCTACAGCTTCTCTTTTCTTCCAAGCTTGTCTACCGCTTTCCCTTCCTATTCTCTCCAGATTCCACGTTACAGCAGTTCTACTTTGGCATCCTGTTTGATTCGGAGGGTCAAAAGTACGAGGTCGCCTCATGTAATACTAAAACTGCATGGGAAGAAGATTAGTTTATTATCAATGTGCGGTGATATTCATATGATTACGAAAAAAAAACAGCTTAGTTAAATCTCATTATAAAGAACAAACTCTTTTGGTCTCTCAAGTACCTCTCTGTTCAAAGTTTTAAAAGACGCTAGTCAGGTGAGAGTCAAAGGTCTATTGCCTAGATGGGCCTAGGTGGATTTTCTAATTTTAATTAAATTTATTATATAACATATAAATAAATGTCTACTTATATTCAACTATATAGATTGCAAAATAGAATTACATGTTATTTATAAAGTACTATAACATATTGAAACCATGTGAAATACGCATATAATGAGTGTTTATCCAAGTATTCAACAAGTCTTTTACAATTTATTGAAAACATAAAATGCAAAATGGAAGTTATCCATTTTTCTATTTTTTGTCTGAATGAGAGTCGCGACCTAGGCGGACTAAGTAGGCGTTCTTCTTATTTTTAAACACCTAGAGATTAATCGTGGCGCTAGCCAGCCGCCTAGTGCCTAGGCGGGGATTTTTAGAACAGCGCATCTATTAAATCTTGTATATTATTTTGTTTTATTTATCCAATCCAACAATTATAAAAAGAGTGTGTGAACAAAAAAACAGTACGTAAAAATCACTTTTTTTAAGAGTATTTGCCTATCATCACTAGCATAAAAAAATTATAACTAAAGGACCCGTCTTTGGATCCAATTTCACAAGGATAATGCTATATACATATTTATTTTTACCTCTCACACACTTCTTTAATTTTTTAACGTGGGATCAAATGATTTAAAAAAATTAATGACAAAAGATTAACCAGAATGGTGCGCCAATAGCACTATCAATCACAAAACTAACGGCAGCCAGGAACGCTGTCCTCTGCTTGCGCGGGAGGCAAAACTTGCTTAAAATTGTTAATGCTTTTCACATTTAAGGCGTTGTCGATTGGTTCTTTACCGATCGGTAGCTACGTAGATGGAAAAAGAAGAAGCAGATCCAGCAGCAAAATCACCCGCAAGATGGTACGGTATCACTGCTTAAACCCTGCATTGCCCAAAAGCAACCATCTCTGTATCCATACAAGCACTGAGTTTGCATGCACTCGTACTTTAAGCAGCTTCATGGATTTCATAAGACCTCTCTCTCCTATTATTCTCGTCTAATAGATCACTGTTTGTCACTAAAGTCTGTAAATTTTGTGAAAATTATACACGCCCAGTTGATCAAAGTAGGGTTTAACAGCCATACTTTTCTGGGTAATCGTTGTCTCGATGTTTACTTTCGATTTGGTGACACCCTGCACGATGCATTGAAAGTGTATGATGAAATTACCGAGAAGAATCTCGTTTCGTGGAACATTTGCTTAAAGGGGCTCAGTCGATTTGGGGAGATTCAAAAAGCCCGCCATATGCTTGCTGAAATGCCTGAAAGAGATGTAGTTAGTTGGAACTCGATGATTTCGGGTTATGTTTCCTGTGGGTTTATGGATAATGCATTGGAGATTTTCTCACAAATGCAAATCGCTGGCGTGAGACCTAGTGAGTACACATTCTCAATTATGATGACGCTTGTGACGTCTGCTTGTTATGGTAAGCAAATTCATGGTGATATGATTAGGAGCGGTATGAATTTGTCAAATGTGGTTCTTGGGAATTCTTTAATTGACATGTATGGAAAGCTTGGTTGTGTGGATTATGCTTTTGGCGTGTTTTTCACTATGGAGGAGGTGGATGTTATCTCGTGGAACTCTTTGATTTCAGGTTGTCATAGATCAGGGTATGAGGAATTGGCACTAGATCAGTTCTTTTGGATGAGAGCCACCGAGTATGCACCTGATGAGTTTACAATATCAACTGTGATCAATGTTTGCTGTAACTTGCTTGATTTGGAAAAGGGTAAGCAAACATTTGCCTTCTGCTTCAAGGTGGGATTTTTTTCTAATAGCATTGTATCAAGTGCTGCTATTGACCTGCTTTCGAAATGCAACAGATTAGAGGATGCAATCCGGCTCTTTGAAGAACTAGATTGGTGGGATTCAGCTGTTTGTAATTCCATGATTTCAAGCTATGCACAGCATGGCTGTGGGGAGGATGTTGTGCAACTGTTTGTGTTGACCTTGAGGGAGAACCTAAGGCCAACTGAGTTTACACTCAGCAGCATGCTAAGCTCTGTGTCCATTTTTCTTCCAGCAGAGCCGGGTAGCCAAATTCATTCTTTGGTTGTTAAGTTAGGTTTTGAGTCAGATGTAATTGTTGCTAGTTCACTTGTTGATTTGTACAGTAAAGCTGGATTGGTAAATTATGCCATGAAAATATTTTCAAATATGGGCGTGAAAGATTTGATAACTTGGAACACCATAATTATGGGTTTGGCTCACAATGGTAAAGTGTTCGAGACCCTGAGCATTTTCAAGGAATTGGTTAGCAAAGGTGCTGCACCAGATAATTTAACACTAGCTGGAGTTTTATTGGCTTGCAACTTTGGGGGTTTTATTGAAGAGGGGATGACCATATTTTTAACAATGGAGAAGGAATATGGAATCGTACCTGGGGAAGAGCACTATGCTCCCATAGTAGACTTGTTGTGTCGAGCTGGTAAACTCAGAGAAGCAATGGATGTACTAGCAGCAATGCCTTATGAACATGGTTCTGTGGTATGGGAATCGATTCTTCGTGCTTGTGTGATTCACGGAGACTTTAAACTCACGGAAAGAGTTGCAAAAAGGATGATGAAGTTGGTGCCACATTCATCTCTACCTTATTTGGTACTAGCTAGGGCATATGAAATGAGAGGAAAATGGGAAAGCATGATTTGGGTCAGGAAAGCCATGATACTTAACGGGGTGAAGAATGTTGTAGGATGCTGTTGGATTGGGATTCAGAACCATGTATATACCTTTAACGCAAAAGAATTACAGCCTCCAAGAGGCAAAGACATTTATTTGATATTGAGATTACTGTCATCGGAAATGGAGGCTGAAGATTACACTGACAATCTAACAAAAGTAGCGCTGAGACGATAAAAAGTGAAGACAAGCAACAGAGTAAGAGTTCATCTCCTATTATTGATCCATATAGTTAGGGATATAGTCTGTCCAATTTCATTTAACCATAGTATATCAATTATTTGTAGAACACGAAAATTTGATTTGAATCTCTTTGTACTGCTAGAATTGTGCTAATTTGTGGCTGAATCAATATGCTAACAAAATGTCCAGGTGTCAGATGTAATTGTTTTTGTAGTGAAATTGCTAGGCTGACGCCTAATGAATTGCCTGTACCATGCTGCAACTCTGTTTACCGTTGTTGAAACTTGAAATAGCAATGCAGTCCATTTGAAAATAAATAGTTTTTAGATGTTCCAGAGCTCCTAGTTTCAGATAGGACTAGCGACAGTGGCTTATGCGCCTAAATATGGGTTTGTCAGCCCGGATGCAAGTTACAACTAAATGCCACAGGTGCGTGTGGGCAGAAGTTGTTAGCGTTACTCTTTAGATGATTGACAGCTGAAGGCCAAAAAGCCGAAACATGCCCATTTGAAATAGAAAGATGCTTTGGTTTGTCGCCAGTTTTTTTCTGGTTATTGCCTTAAGCATGAAGGATGCCTGCCTCTGATGAAGGCTTTATGCTCAGCAGCAGAACGTGAAGATTTTGCTACTTGGAACTGCATGTGATAGCCTTGGCCTGGACTAATTGTAGTAGAGATTGGCTTGGATAGGCTTGGCTTGAAATTAGTTCTGTCCTACGTTTGGTGTGTCGTATGGAAAAGGGACAGGATAATGCTGCCATCCTCAACCAGGCTGCCCCCTCCAACCTCACTACCAGTACCAGCCATGACCCCAAACCCCCCTCCCTATACAGGCATCCCCTCCCGCACCCAACCCTACCTTCCCCTCTTCCCTCGAAATATGTGACCGGTCGAAGGCGAGTGATACTGTAGCGAGTTGAGCAGGGATGAGCTCCAAAGTTCGTGGTGTTTTCTAATTTTGTGTCTTATTTCAGGTTAAGACATATGAGACCCTTGATACCCATATCGTTTTTCAGTTTTCAAGTTTTCAATTTTTGTTTTGATTTTTTTTTTTTAAACAGAAAATCCGTTTGGTAATTATTTTCAGTTTTCAAAAAAAATAAAAATTGAAAACCAAACACTAAACTGCTATTTGTTTTTAGTTTTCAGTTGCAAATCTGTTTGGTAACTATTTTCAGTTTTCAAAATGAGAATTGAATACTGAAAGCAAGACTAGTTTTCACCTTTTTATTTTAAAAAAACCTGAAAATAGTTACCGAAAGTGAAAACAAAAACTGAAAAATTGAAAACAAATTTTTTTTATCAAACAGCCTCTAAAAATCGAAAATGAAACCGAAATAGTTATCATACAGTCCCTTATCTAGGATAATGCTAGGGAGATCAAATTTGCAAACAAAATTTTGTAAGTTTTGTTATCCCCAGCATTACCCCCTTATTTAATGCTAACTAATCTAGTTCTTACACCTAGTTTGGCCTAACATTTTTTTTTTTTTTTTAATGCTAACTAATTTTGTCCTTGCACCTAGTTTAAATTGCGATTCAATAATTTGATTCCAGTCCAAGTTTGTTTAAGTTAAACAAGGAGCCATTAAAAAATAGAATTCTTAAAGAATCATCAAAGTATGAAACCATTTTGATGCTCAAGTCTCCATCAGGCACATCGATGAAATCAAATATGGATATCAATTTTTTAATTTAAAAACGTAATCAGTGATCCGGATTAGTTCATTTTCTGCACCTGTTGGCATAGCTTGATCTACTTTGGTTTCCAACGAGAGAGGAGATAATAAACGGACAATTCCTTATGTGTACAAGTTATTCATCTTTGAATAAACAAAATTGTTCATTCTCTTTATTATTGTTCAAATTTATTTATTTTGAATAAATCTTTCTAAAGGTAATTTTATTTGACGATAAAAAGAATGAATGGTTTGTATGATGACGTTTGAACTGGCAAAGTGAACCAAATGTTGTAACTGAATTTAATTTACTAGTAACGATCAAGAACGTACACATGTTGAAAGAAAACTTAGAATTGCAACCACATTAGGAATAAAGTACAATTACTTAGTCTTTGAGGACCCACTGTTCAACCAACATGAAATATAATATTGCTAGTCGTAGTGCTATCCTCTGATGATCTTGTAATGGTCGAATAAAAACTTGGGTATTAGTCACCTCCAATAAGCATTGAGCTTCTTCCTAATAGTCATTTGCCATGCAAATGAAACACAAAAGCCACCCCCTCAACTTTAAATAACAATTGGTGCTTTAAGATCCAAATATGAGCAGTAAGTCATAGTCGGTACAAGAGCTCTTCTTGATAAAGTAAAAGAGCAACCACAACCATAAAAACCATTATCAAATAGAGCGAAACAACTAAAGGCTCACAAAGGCAATCATACCTTGGCACATGGATTACTTAAAAAATCATTTTTTTTAAATAGTTTAAAATGCGGCTGAGACCGGGGTGGTGGGTTGTGGCGGATTCATGGGTGCCGGTTGGTGAAGAGGTGGCTGGTTCCAAGTCAACGTACTAACATTTTTACTATCGGCGTGGGATAATTTTGAATATATATATATAAGGACCACATTTATAAAACTCTTAAGAGAATGAATCATTCTAAATAATATATTGTACGAAAACAATGCGTTCATAAAAAACTAAAAGGAAAATGAAGTGGACATTGAGAGGAGACCCAAATATTGTTGGTGTTTTTCTTGCATGCATGCATGCAGCAACAACGTATGCATGCCCCTTAGACGGCGGGACATGACTCAACGACACAAAGATGAGTCCCCATACCTTGCGGGGCGACCAATGATCTAGCAGTCCAAACACTAGCCCTTGAAAAGCATAATCCAACACGGTGCCAGTCTGCCAGAGTTTATCCATTGGCTCCATTGAAGACGACGGTAACTTCCCCGTCATGGCAGAAGAATATCCATGGAATTTATTCCTGCTCCCCACTGTGAAAGCTTAAAAATACAAAGTAAAAAATGGAAGAAAACTTTGCCAGAACTCCGAATTCCAAGCTTGCCATTGGCCAACCAATCAAAATCCCTTTTGGGGTTTATTTGTATACCGATTTCCAACTGCTATATCATTCCACAATTTCCTTTAAATAGCATCTTCAATTTTCACCACCATAACATTCAAAACAAAGCTTCAAATTGGTGTCGTGTGTGTAATATTCTGTAAATGGCGAGCCCTCTGACGCCATCCCACGTTGTCATCGCCTATGACGCCACCAAGGACCGCGGCGTGCATGAGCTTACGCTCGCAGTTGACGGTCTCCTGAAGAGGGGTGACGTTTTGCATTCAGGGGATACCATCATTGTGCTTGGAGTTTTGCACAGGGTCGTCCACCCCAGTAAGTGTTTGACGATTTGCCTCGCTGAACTGCACCTTTTTTATTGCTTTTTATTCTTGTTTTTTCCTATAATGGCCTCAAATATTTAATGGGGTTTTTAAGAAACTTCTCTTGTCACTGCCTAATTACTTATAAATTCATATCATTAGTTGGATCGGATGGTTAATAAGATGCAAACAATTAAGGGTTTGCGTTATGAATCTATATTTGAATCTTACCTACCGGAAGATCGTTGCATTGCCATCATTGATCCTACTTGCACATTGAAATCTTATCTATCTAATTATGGTTCATTTCTGCAAAATGCATCCGTGCCCGTAAATATTCAGCAACTTATGCTATCAGTAAAATGATCTGAAGATATGAGTACTGCAGTTATATGAAAATGAAGTGTGCTACTTTCTGAAATGTTGTTTCCTTGCTTCTTATATCTTTGTTGGGGCAGTGGGATTTCCCACAAAACCATGCACAGATTTTTTGGAAACCAGCATTCGTGCAGTGGAGGAAGAAGTTACAAAGAAAGTTGACATGTATGTTAGCATGCTTCTTGAAAGCGCGAGAAAGTGTGAAGATCAAGGGGTACAAATTCTCTGAAGCTAAGCTTTACTATTTTAAGTGATTGTTAATTTGTGCTTTCATTATGTTCCTGCCCTTAAGAGAGTGTTGGCTTTCTCTCAACCAGATAGTCTTAACTCAAGACATCTTTTTTCCGAGATTGCAGAAAGTTCAATTTTCTTATAATGAATTCATGATATTAGCAAATCTTGCTATATGATGATATATCTAACAATATGAGCTGAATGTTGTGTCACAATTTGAGAACTTGGGGTATGTTAGTGTACATTTTGTACTGCTTGGAACATTACATTTCACATGGTGACTATGGATGTGCCTGTTCTTTTTTGTAGTTACAATGAACATCACCTGAACAATAAGACATGATTGCTGCTTCTGTTTTTGCTGTAATCAGGTCAGCATTGAAGTCAAAGTTACTGCTGGTTTTCCCATTAAGCAGGTTATTTTGCAAGAGATTATGGCCTGCAATGCAGCTTGGGTTATACTTGATAGGTAGTTCCTTACCTCTGCTTGTGTATATTAGACTTCACTTGAGTTACAGTTGATATCAGATCTGTTTGTGCTGTTTCATGACTTACGAAAACTATTCCTATGTAAATGATTTCCTCTCACCCATAACTTCTATTCTTCACCCTTTTAGACGATTAAGGAAGTGAATGACATATTATATTCATGCATAAGGTATGGTGGGTCTTACATATGAATGGAAAAGGGATCCGTGCTTCAATGATGCTGCAATATTTTAATGTGATTGCTAAGTGAAAGATCACTGTAATCTGGCCCTATCCTATAAAGATCACCATTCTTTGCCTTTTTTGTAGGGCGTTGAGAAAGTACTCCATTTTGGTGCTTAACTGCAAATGGTCATTATACCTTTAACAGGATTTTTTTTAATCATGTAAATAATATTTTCTTTTGTATGTGTTTTCAACTCAAAAGTTAAAACCTTGAATTGAATCAAAACTGGCATATTGGAGAAATATTCTTCCACAATTTTATTTGTTAGATATCCTTGGATCTTCATTTGAATCAATATTGATGCAGTGAAAACAAATGACCATTCCAATTTTTCAAAGAAAGCTCCAATTTGTCTTTGCACTTTCAGTTTTCCTTTCGATATATTTTTTTATATATTACCACTGTGTACGCTTGTGAGCATGCCTCTGTCAAATTCTCTTTTTTTGTTTCGAATTAGCTTCAATTGTAACTTGCAGAGCTTAACACAGGCACCTTAGACGGGATTTGAGGTTCTACCTTAAGAAGATACCATGCAAGGTTGCAGTAATTCAAGATAGTTTGGCTGTGGATGTTGTAAGACCTCATACAACGGATGACACTGATACCATAGAACACAAATTGTTTTTTTCATTGTCCAAGCCTGTTCCACTATCCAATTATCAATCTAACAGAATCAATGAACAGCCACTCATTGATTCACCTGAAAGTTCTGATATTCAGAAAACCTATTTAACTTCACCTACAGTTACTTCACCTACAGTTAAGTTACGAGACTATGGTTCTTTGTTGAATCTGGGGTCTTCCCCTGTGCAAGAAAATTCAGGTCAGAAACTTGTTATATTCCTTTCTACAACTTTATTTACAAATTTAAGATATAAATTGTTCTTTCTGCAGTAAGGGTTTCATACAGTTGTAATATCCATGTATAAAATCTTAGCCATAACTTTTGGTAGAGAGTTTCATCAAATGAACAAACCTCAAATGAGAAAATTTTTGTATGCTCTATTATCTATCTCTAGATTTAAAAATAGTAACATTATCAGTCTGTATCCTTTGTTTGTCTTTGTTGAATATTAAGGCATACGTGTCTCATTATTTCGAGTTCGGACTTTGTAAGTAGCACAGCAAGAAATCTTGCTTAGTTTCTCCAATATTTGGATTTAACATTTTTTGTAAGTTTCTTGTCAAAATGATCAAGACTGATAATATGTCACATTTGAAGAAGAATAAGGTTATTATTTCATTGCTTGAATGACATAGATTCATTCGGTTTCTAGAACAAACAGGTCTTTCTAACCATCTACATCATTCAGTTTGAAATCACAAATAGATGAAAGCCTTACATCAAACATACGCGTAGTCCACTGAAAGCATGACAGGAACATGGTTCTGTTTATAACAAAGAAGTTCTCGATGCCTTCTTTCATGTTCATCTTAGCTTGAAATAACTCATTGCGTCAGGTGTTTGTAGTGACAAAGTATGACTTTAGCAATGACCAGGGTTATAGCACTCACTACTGTATAGATTAACACTATATTTTCTGTTTTCCAGGTGTAAAAACCAAAGCAGACGATAAACACTTCATAGTTCCTCAAAAAATCCAGAAGCAAAATAACGACTCCTTCCGAGGAAGATGCTCAGATGCCCCAATTCTGTGTTCCATATGTGGAACAAGGACTGAAATGTATGTCAAGAATTCTATGACATTCAGCTACTCAGAGATACAGCTTGCAACAAATGATTTTTCCAAGGAAAATTTATTAGGAGAAGGTGGATATGGTCATGTGTATAAAGGTGAGCTTAAGGACGGACAGCAAATTGCAGCAAAGGTGCGGAAAGAAGCAAGTACACAAGGATTTACAGAATTTCACTCTGAGGTCTATGTCTTGAGCTTTGCACGCCATAAGAACATTGTCATGCTGTTGGGTTATTGTTGCAAGGAGAACCTAAATATATTGGTTTATGAATATATTTGCCACAAGTCTCTTGAATGGCACTTATTTGGTAAACTTCTGTTAAAATTTTCCCCAGTATATTTCGTTTTTCATTATTGTTAGTTCTTATGTTGATACTATATGAACATGATTAGTGCATCTTCCTTTGTTAATCCTTACTGGCTATATTTGTAGATGAAAAGGCAGCAGTTCTTGAGTGGTACCAAAGACAGGAAATCGCCATTGGAACTGCGAAGGGATTGCGTTTCCTCCACGAAGAATGTCGTGGAAGTCCTATAATTCATCGAGACACGCGACCAAGCAATATACTGCTAACACATGATTACGTTCCAATGGTAAAGTAATATGCCATGTTCTTTATGTTTGTCTCTTTATGACGTCCTTTGAAGAAATGCATAGTATTATTTCCCATTTAAATTTCTGTTTTATCAATGTGCTCAAGATTTGGTTAGCGGGTAATGACGTTAATAAATCAAAGTTCCTTTAAGAATCTGGTTGGGTAGTCTTGGTGCCCTCCAGACTTGTGTAAAAATCTAGAGCCATCTGCATAGTCCTATGCTAATGAGCTGCAAGTAAAACTTCTAGGAATTATGTATTTTTGTATTTCTTTCTAGCTCGCAGCTCTTTGAACTCGAAAAAAAGTCACCTTTCAGTCCTCCCTAGTGTAAAAAATATACAGGGGAGGTGTGCATGATGACCTTTTTAGAGTGCTAACAATTCCCGTCTTTCTATGTGCGAAAATATACATTGTGATGCATGAAACATTTCTCTTGTTTCAAATGGAGTATTGATATATTTAAAAGAATATTTTAGGAACTAGATACCTCTGACCCAGAATAATGAGGACTTGTAGATTACATATTATTAGTTCTCTTCTCTTTTCTTTTCCCTTTTTTCGCTTCTTTTTGTTTTGTTATTTACACAACACCTCCAATCTAAGTTCGCCCACATTTCTATCTACACCCCATCCAAACATTTAAATTTTAATTCATTCTAAGAACACCAACTTTTTTTTTCCTTAAAAAACTACCCTTAAACACCAATAAATTCTATCTGCATGCTTTAAACTAGTGTTTTGAAATTTTGAATCCAGAAAAATAATTTCAATAGCAATTACTTATTATTTTGTGCGTGGTTAATCTGGAAACAATACAACAACTGAATAATGAAAATACTTGGCACAGATTGCACCCGCAATTTTGAGTTTTCGACACCCAAATAGATAGTTCGTTTTCACAGCATAACGGTTTTGAAAGTCTGAGGTTTGTTTATTACCTATACATTTGTTCTTCAAAACTAATTTTTGCTTCCTAGGGGTTGTTAGGTGTTTGATCTTCTGTCAATAAAATCCTTTTTCTTCTTGACAGTAATCCTAATTCCTTTTTTGAATTATTTGGGCTGTTTCTTTGCATATGACGATGTTTGCCAACAATCAACAAGAAGTGGCATTCGATGAAATGAAGCCAATGCAGCTGTAAAGATTAGGGTGTTTCGAGAACAATAATATAGTATTCTTTTGTTGGGGGAGAAAGATGAACCATATATATTTTTTTGGTTCTTAGTAAAGCTTAGGATTTCTGTGGGTGTTGATAGAAATGCTGTCCTCAAGTTTTGCATTTTCGGCTTCTACTTTCGTTTGACTTTGGAGTATAATCTTTCTTTTTGATCTCTGAAATTAATAGGCTTTGATTGCAAAATCTGAGTAGTTATTATCAAGGACTCTGAATAATATAAAAACTATTCTAGCTAAAATGGTTTGATTTTCTGCACAGTTAGGTGATTTTGGCTTAGCCAAATGGAAGACGGCGAGTGATGACACTGACCAGACAAGGATACTTGGCACACTAGGGTGAGGACTTCTATACGCTTTTTTCTACATTTGATTTTCACGTCCTACATTCTCCGGTCTTGGTAACTTTCACTATACTTGTGCAAGTAAATTTTTGGTCCTTGTAGCTACCTTGCTCCAGAGTACGCAGAGAACGGCATTGTTTCTGTACGGACAGATGTATATGCCTTTGGCATGGTTCTGTTACAACTCGTAACGGGCCGCAAGATTGTTGATTCAAACGGAGAAGGGCAAGCTCAATCCCTACGGGAGTGGGTATGTTGGGCTTCAAGATGTGTTTTGACATCTTATTTATACTGGCAAAAGGGCAAAAAGAAAAACCATTTTTTTACCAATCTCAGAAAACAGCTGTGCTTAATTCTCTGGGTTCCAATCTAACTAGTCTATATCTGCTAAATGTAGGCAGAACCAATAATCCAGAGGCTGGCACTACATGAACTCATTGATCGTCGTCTAGGAGATTCATATGACACATATGAAGTGTACCTTATGGCTAAAACCGCATTCTTATGTGTACAAAGAAATCCTGAAATGCGTCCATCAATGCGAGAGGTAATCAAAATTTTACCCTCTGGGTTCTTGTGGTTTTGTGGGAACTGTTAGTATAAGAAGTTGGTGCAAGATCAACTCATATACTCTAACCTGGTATGACAACAATGTGACCGCCTTTCTCAAGAAACAAAAAATGCAACTGCTCATGAAACACACATAAATATATGTTGTTGTGTTGGTAGTTAGAAATACCGCTGTGTAAACAGAGATCCTTGTATATCCAACTACAAATGTCTCTATGCTGCATTTCCATACGAACTTAACAGATTTTCTTCCAACAGGTTGTCCGCGTTCTTGAAGGTGAAAATGACAATTACCACCACCTAGCAGAGCACTTTGCACCTCAATATCTCACAAAGTGAAGGATCCAGTGGCACAGTTTATTTTCATCTCGAAGTGGTATTGCTGTTTATATTGTTATATCCACTGTTTCTATCTTGTCATGTACAAATATGTGTCGTATTTCATGGCAGTGAGACGACGTGCAATCTAACGAATGTTTCATTTTGTTCTGTTCCAGTTCGCAGTAGCTTCTTGAAGGGAAAAATTACCGTTTTCTGCATCCCAGGATAGCAATTCTACCTCGATGAAGACAATGGCACACTATACTTTTGATTGACGGCTGAGGTTATCGTATTTTTTTCCTGTTTTTCTTGAAGGTGGTTCTAGCTTCTCTGGTTTTGCATGGTTTCGATCAAGGGAGGCATTAATTATAAGGCTTTGAAAACTTGAACGTACGTATAGTGAAGTTTGGCTTAGGCAAACAATAAGTTTGTCTATTGATGCCTTAAAAATAAGATCCTTTTAATCTAATAAATGGATCATCAGTATTACTCTCCACTAGTTTTGTAAAAACAACTACGTATATGTAATCTGAATTTCTATGTCCCAGACTTTGTGATTACTGCGTACTTGCATTATGTTGGATTTATCACAAAGGATTGCACCTTCGTAGGAAGGTTTAGCTCTTAAATGAAATTTAATCGTCAACGATTAAGGATATGTAATTGGCACTACAAAATAATAATTTTGCATGTTATATATAGAAAACATTGAAGGAAGAAGTGAATGATGGCATTTGTGGAGTACCAAATGAGGGGATGATTCAAAATTAGTACAATAATTTAGGGGAAGAGGAGTTTCAAACCTGAGACACTAGCATGATAGAAACCACTGTACTCTTGATTAACTCTGACAATAAAAGTTAATTACTAATGAATATTTATGTGACATGCAAATTTTCTTTAGCCATTTTTTTATTTGGTTGTTTTTGTCGACAGTCTAAACTCCAAGGAGAAAATGGTGGTGAATTGGTACATAAATATTTGTTGATGTCTCATGTCTATGAGAATGCATTTTCTCTGTGATCTTACAAATTTTGACAAATATCACCAAACCATAGTATTAAATAACAAAATTCATTATATATTAGTAACTAGAAAAACATCCGTCGTTAAAATAGAAACGTTTACATCAAATGCTATCGTATTACACAATCAATCCGTTCACATATGATCTCATTTATGAAGGCCTCCAACTCGAACTACAAATGAAGCAACTAGATGAACTGCTCTATTACATTCACGGGAGCAAATAAGAAACCTACTCACACACAGTTTTGCTTGGTCTTATAAGATGTGGCTGGTAAATTTTCTTTCCCCATATTTTGGCTTTAGAAACAGTATCTACAAGCGTATGACTCGTGGGGACAACATTATATGGATTGATGTGATAATTTGTGAGCAGCGTAGATTACCGTTGTTAGTTGCTGTGCATGCAGTCCACCAACTTTGGAGAATGTGTGGTCGTTTCAGGTGGGCAAACCACCAAATTTGGAGAATGTGTAGTCGTTTCAGCCTTTCAGGTGGACAACCATGCGTGGATAGTGACGTCAGTACAATACTAACTGCGACACGTGTCCTCTCATGAGAAGACGGTTTCTAATTTGTTGTATTGGTTGGAACAAGAAATAGTGTTCGCCATAAACCTGTATGTGTCACGTGTGTGAGGTATAATATATCATTAGAGTTATCCGTACTTCCATAGGAAAGAACAAGAGAGATAGATTTTTATAAATATACTTCTTATAACTAGAAATTAAGTTTTGACAGATTTAAAGATAAAGTTATCATGTAGTTTAGTTGCAGACGACTGTTTTAGTATCAAACGATAGCAATGGCCATCATCTCTTTGCTATAAGTAACACTTACTTGACAACGTTTTTTCATACCAGGTAACAGTTAAAAGCTGTAATTTCACATTGTTAGTGGTATTGAGAATTGTAATCTTCTCCTTATTTTTTTGTAATAAGAATTAGAGGAAAACAGTTTATTCTTGTTTTCTTATCCTTTGTTATTTTTTAAACAGCACCCACACGGCGGATTCCTATAATTATATGTGGAACATATCAAACAAGATTCAGGGAAATCATTGTGTCTCTCATGGCAACTGTCCAGAGACAGATTCTAACATCATTTGCCTTCAATTGTCAACTAAAATATCAATGTCACACCCCCAAGGCTTTACGCAGTCAAATTTATGTGATCAAGTTAATTATGGTAGGTCTGAAATTGATATAATATCCCAACGGGAAAGTAGTGGATTCAAAATAAAGTAGTGGGACTACAAAGCACCCAACAAAATGGGGAGCAAGAAAAATGAACTAGCACTTCAGAGGTTAATCAGTATGTTAAATTAGACTTTCAGTTGCTATCCACACCAACTCAGATTTATAATATAATTGAAATTGCACAAGAAATTAAAGATTGTTTTTAAAGTATTTTGTTAGGCCTATTTTAGGATAGATCAGATCGTAAATATATGTTTATAATTCCAATTCAAAAAGTTTGGGAAATGAATATCAATTATAATTTTATAATTAGAATTTCGGGATTTCATAAATCATACGGAATTTGAAACTTTTGAATAGAACTAGTTTCGGAATTTCAAAGTTGTGAGAGTTGTATGGCTATACAGAGATCATTCCATGTCCATGCCTCTTTCTGTATAACTACCTTCCTCTCCACCAACTTCCTTTATTTTACAACTTTTTCATCTAACTATTTTACCCTTTACAATAAATTGAGTTTCCATTTAATATCGCATATGTGTTCATTTTTTTAAGATTGTGAACGATTCACCTTTAACGCCCTACAGTTCCACCCCTGAATAATGGAGTTCATTGTCATAGATTGAAGTCGTCAACTTTGCTCAAGAATCGGGGTTTCGGGAAGTCATGATCATATGGTGGAAGCTGATGCTAGGAATGTAGTTAATGTTTTGGTTAATCAGATGAAGAGTAGAATGATGAAGAACGGTGATGGTGTCATGTGTCTAGTTTGTTGTGGCTCTCTTTTTCTCAACAGATTTTTTTTAATACAAGTGTTGTTTTATACTAATCCACATTAAGAGAATGGAGAGAGTTTGAACTCAAGACTAAATTGAAGAAAAAAACCCCAACCATCTGAGCAATCCACGACTTGCTTCCTTGACTGATTTCTTCATCAAATTATTATGGTAAAGTTTTTAGTGAGGCTCTTACTCTGGATCCCTTTTATTAAACCATTTGGTTGTGATCACTTTTATCAATGAATCCATATCTTTTGATATAAAATAAGACTAAAAGGACACCGTTCATCGCTCATTCTATTATTTTAATGATCACTTTCTCTAGCAATAGTGCCTCTCAACATGATGATTAGTTCATGAGAATCCATATCTTTCGATTAAAAAGAATGTAGTATAATGTGTCTTTTCACACAAAAAAATAGCAAAATCATTAATTCAAGAATCATGCTCAATCCAAAGAGGAAATCGATTTCTCTCTAAAGTCTTATAAACAACATGAATATAGTAGCTTTAAGTTCCACCTCCAAGGCAGTAGCAATGCCAACAGATTCTGCAAGGCATCTAAAACAATGACTCAAGTGGTCACGGAAAATACCACCAAAACCAGCCGTGGTTCCTGAACCACAAGTTGCACCATCAATGTTAACTTTAACTTGAAAAGCACAAGGAGAAAACCAAAGAACCTCATGAATTATAGGCGCCCTTGTAGGCCTTCCATACACTCCAAACGCTCTGATAATGCAAAGCTCATCAATTAAATGTAACGTAAAACTCGTACCCTAAGAATTTACCTCACAAACTTGCAAGGGAATGCTACTAACCAACTGATCAACTGTAAACATTTTCCCTTTAGATTTAATTTTGAGCTTGCTGAGGTGAGTAAAAATCTACACCAATCATACCCCACCATCATAAGTGAAGTTGAGTACGGAAACCATGCCTCAAAGGATAAGAAAAATGATGTGATATTAGAGAATAACATAGAAAATTAAAATAAGGCTAAAATCCTACACCAAATTGGCAAAGAAAATGAGCACTTAAATAATGATGAGTAGATGCATTAGCCTGACAATACGGAGTACATCGTTGCAAAAGGGAGCATCCAGTAAGACAATAAATCATCAATTAAAAGCTTACCATGAAGAAAACGCCATAACAAAATAGGATTACATGGTCATAAACATTTATGCCGAACTCATCTATTTTGTTTACTATACTTAAAGTTATAAGCCAAAAATAAAGATAGTGCACAATTTGAAGCCGTCTACTAAATTAGTTTAATCATCGAAAGAAAATTTAAATGACGAAATTTCGGAGTAATGTAGCAGAATGCACGGCACTAGTTAGACCAATAGGACAAAACCAACAGCAATTTCGAAAACAATCAATATCTTATATATATAGAGAACATAAAAGGTGAATAATGCTTTTGGTTTGGACAAAAATAGTCCCAAGACAAAAAACTTTAAATGCGTCCTAAAATAAGACTAGCAATAATATAATTTAATTTTTCTATTTTTAAATACGTTCAAAACATCTTAAAAGGCGTGTAATGTCGGATATAAAAAAAATCTTTCGCATACTGATAATAATGTGATTAAATTAGTTGTCAAATGATTTTTTTTTAACAAACGATATTATCTATACTAAGGAGGATGGATGGGCTTAGCCTCACAATGGGCTTAGCCTCACAATGGGCTAGCAATAATGTGATTTAAATCAATTGTTCATTAAATATAATTTTCTTTATTTTTGTTGTAAATTTTATATAGACCGATTTTATTATGTGAATTCAGATATTTTAATTGGTTTATGAGGGGTTTCTTCTAGCATGATCTAATATTATTCATTTACTTCAAATATTTAACTTTCTTTTGTCAATTAACGCATATAAATACATTTAAAACGTTTAAATCACGAGTAGCATTTTATGATTCAAAACGTGCATGAAGGCTAGTATTTAAAGAATTGAGAGTACAACAGCAATTATGAACTGAGATGCTTCATCGAAGCACATACATTATATATGTCCAAATGTAGTATATAAAAAAGGATATGTACAGTTATACAAATCATTGTGACGAATATATAATTTGGGAAAGTCATCAACTATATATATATCAAGCACATATGTCATCCTCCTTTTTTTTTTTTTTTTTTTAATACATCGATATTTTTATATTAAAGAGAAGGAGAGTTCGACTAAACTATACAGTGGGTAGCCTAATTTAGTATCGAATTCGCTATCTACGATATTCAAACTAGACCTCTCACTTCTGAGTAAAGAAGAAATTATCACCAGTACCGTAGTACTGAGTAGCATGTGATCCTTTTATTTGAAAAGACAAACGCATACTTTAAGAACCTATGAAATTGCCGAAACGTTGCTGAGGTTTCATCTGTTTCCATTAAAATACTAGCTAGCTTATGGTTGTGGGAATCCGATTCTATTTCTCATGGTGCACATCAACTTGCAAACATTCAGTATCTGCACCAAATTTTAAGATATAAAGCTCAACTTTAACAGTCAAAAGAATGATGTTGTATTCTTCACCAAATTTTTATAATCCCATGTGCTCTGATGAAGCATTTGTCAAGATTGTAGAGTCATCAGGACGATCGTCCATTATTAATCATATTTATGTTGTCCTAACTTCATCACCTGCACTGTTTACTTTTATCACCAAAAAAAAAAAGTCTATACAATTAAGAGTAGAACATACAACATAAGCTGTAATTTATTATGTCAAGTATCCGATGTAGGATTGTTTAAGCTTATAGGTTAATCTACTGTTAGATTAATATGATGATTGTTATTAGAGAAGATCTCACGTGTCCTCAAAATGAGGACGACCCTAGGTGATTAGCATTGCACGTCAAGTATCCAATTCTATTTCGCATAGCGCATACATCAAATTTCATTTGGATGTAATTAAGAACTTGTGAGCTAACGGAAAACAAATTGATCACTAACACATTTTCACTAGAGTCTATTTGGTAACATTTTTGTTTTTAGTTTTAATTCGTAATTTCAGTGAAAATGAAGAATATTTAAGAAGAATGAGAAGGGACGATAAATTTTCATGTTTTTAATTCACACTTTCTCCTCCATTTCTCCCTTATTTTTTTCTCCTCCTCCTTTCATCCCTCATGCCTACATATTGTTGGAGAATGAGAAAATAGAGAAGCATTTGAGATTGTGTTTTATTTCCTACCTTTAGGAGGAAGTAATATACATTTAGGTTACTTGTCTAATTGATTAGGATTTTTTTCTATAATATGTTTTTGAGTTAACCTTTGTATCTTGAACTCTTATAAATAACTCCTTATCGAGAAGAATAAAGGTTTGTGAGTGTGTAGGAGATTTACTGAGAAAATTCTCATACTTTGTTGAGTTTGGTATCAGAGCCATGTCCGATCTCTAAATTGAACTCTGCTATGCTTGCTTCCCGTGGGTATACAAAGGAATATAGTTGCATGAAACCTGTAAATATCCTTGCTTATTCCCAACTGTATGTATCATTCAGTTATACTAATTTTAGAATTTAACCATCGCAAAAATTCATTAATCTTTGTATCAATATCTAACTGTTAATTTTTTGACTACTCAGCAATATGTATTATGGAAAGACACTTTTCACGTGCTTCTCCCCACTCCAAAAATCACTTGCAAAGTGATTGTATGAAAAATGGTAGGAAACTGAAATGATTAATTTGTTCATATTTAAGAATTGGATCATGCTAGAGAGGTTATCTTTTTAGATATATTTTGTAGATCATAGGATGAATCAATTGATGGTTGGATTTCTTCTTTAAAATATTGAAATAATTTAAGCATAAACCGTTATATCACGTAATTTACAAAAAATAGTTTCACTATCATTTTTTTTTAGGATAGTGTTATTCACATATCCATTTTTACCTGACACACCTCTTTTAATTTTTTGATCATTTGATAGAATGAATTGAAAAAATCAATAGACAAAAATGACGGGTGTGAATAGCACTTGTCTTTTCTTAAGAATTTAAAAGGATTTCCCCCACTATTCGCCACGCCATGCCCAAGTGTACTCTTCATTTTTGAAGAGAGAGAGAGAGAGAGAGAGAGAGAGAGAGAGAGAGAGAGAGTGGTAATCCAACGTAAGAAAGCAGAGAGCCACCACAACAAACAGACACTGCAACTTTACAACAAAACTCTGCACAAACAAACTCTGCTCAACTTCTCATATATTCTGCTCTCATCTCACCTCCTGCTTATAATCTCTCTCTCTCTCTCACCATGTTTTTCTGGAAAGTCTTTTAATTACTCTGCCCCCAATCCTGGAATTTTATGAAATTTCTGAAATCAAAGGTAATTCTAACAGAGCTTCAATTTCTTTAGTTACCCTTTTTTTTTCCTTCTTCAATTTTATGTTTATTTCTTGAGAATTCAACTTCTAATCTAATTCGAATGCATGGGTACTCTGTCTTTTTTTGTTCTTTCTGTAGTTTCCCAATATATTCCAATTAAAAGAGTTTAATATAAAAATAGAGATGGTTAATCAAATGAGTTCTTTTCTATTTACTCAGACAAAAACAAAATGAGTTCCTTCTATTTATGTATATTTTTTGTTGTTTAATTTTTATTTGCAGGTTTTGGCTCAAAATCTGAAGGCCGTTTCTGCTGAAGTTGGACGGGTGAATACCAATGTATATTTCCGGTACGAATTTTTTTTTTAATTGCAGTTTTAACTTTAGAGTTTGGATTGATAAGTTACGCTGTAGAGAGCTCTTACACTCTCACAGCCTCACAGCTTGTTAAAGGAATGGACTATAATTATCTCCCGTCTTCTTTCTACCCCTTTCGAACATTGCTTCTCTGCCCTCTCACTTCCCATACATTTTTATCCTTTCTTATTTGTGCAGTCATAGTTAAGTTACGTCAATATTTTATATTAATATTATTTTTTGTCTTATTATCTTTATAAAAAAAATCAATATAAAATGTTGACGTGGCTTAACCGTGACCGTACAAAATAGGAGGGGATAGGAGTGTATGGGAAGTGGGAGGGCAAAGAAGCCAGGTCCATCCCTTCCTCTCATATTCTCTATTTTGTCTCTCTTTCTATAAGAAATTAATATAAGATATTGACGTGGCTTAACCGTGACCGTTCAAATAGGAGGGGAGGGAAGGTGAGGGAAAAAAGAGGGGAGAGAATCCTACTCCGAAAGGAATAAAGCCCCTTTGTTATTGGTTTTTTTTTTTTAATTTTTTTTTTATATAAAAGCTGTTCCACTTTAAAATTAAGCATTACAAAATTGTTTGATAAAAATAAAATATCTGTTTATTTTAACAGCACTCCAAAGTAGGTTGTTTTAAAAAGATGCTTTTGTAAAAAAGTTGAGTCTTTAATGAATATTTTCAATTCCAATAATATCTTCATTAGTTTTTAAAAATGACATTATTTATTTTTTAGTCACATTTTATCCTTTGGAGAATAAAGTGATTATTGTAACCTACTGCTTCAAATACCGACTTTACACCACAACCCCCATTGACACTACCATTGTTGCCACCACCACCACAATCGTTAGTGCCACCGCCACGACAACCACCATCATTGCAGCCACTGCCACCACCACCACTATAACCACAACCGCCACTACAATCACAACTACAATCGCCACACTATTGATGTCGCCGCTCTTACCACCATTGGTATCCCTGCAAGCTTGCACCCTAAACACAGCCCACTATTGACACTAAAACCAAACCCCACTGCCACCACTACCCCTGCCACAACCGTCGTCGTTAACACCTTCATTATCATGTCTATTTTTGTCCTTATGTACAATTATACAACTTTTGTATTAAAATTTATCATATGCTTTTACGTTGTTTTTCATTCTGAAAGCACTTTCAAAAATACTGTATCAAACTTTCAACTGCTTAATTTTACCGTTGATTACTCACAAACATAAACAATTCTTTTAAAAAGCACAAAAATCCCAAATTAACCTAAGAACAAGTGCAATTTGTCATTTGGTTACTCTATGCCTCTCTCTCTCTCTCTCTCCGTCCTTGTTTCTAATTTTTTCCTAGAATAAATAATGACTTTTTTTAATTAAAAAATGGAATGGACGGTCTTGATCCATTGACATGTTCATGGGTGGATTGATACTCTTGGACGGTGGGGATTCGGATGATGGTGCATAAAGTTTGGAATCAAGTCTTTATGTCGCCTCAAAAGGTTTTGAGTAGAACCAATATTTTGAGGTTCCTTTTTTATTTTAGAGAGAATGTTTCATCGTATGTTTTACTCCATTAATACTATTATCTAGTTGCATTTTTTTTAGTTGTAAGTGAGAAAAAGATTTTAGATTTGATTTTAATAGACGGTGAGTTCAATACCACATTATTATGACATGATCATTGTGTGGTAAATTATCACAATTGAGGTGGTTTCAAAGTGAGCCACAAGTTCTATTTCTCTCCCGTTCCACCACAAGATTTAGAATTGTAATAGAGTACACTTTTCGTTTGTTTAAACGTCTAATTCTCTATTAAACTACACGTAAGCTCAAATATGATTTTTAGGCTTACTATGTCATCAATTTAATGAAGAATCAAGCATTCAGTTAGATTGATGGTACAATTTCAATATGTTATGGTACAACATGAGAAATTGAAACTTCGCATGCCCATTTTAAAAATTACCCAAAACCTAAAAAGAGAAATGTAGTTAACCTTAATTTTTACTTGAAATTATGTTCAATTGAGTTTTGGTTGTTTAGGAAAAATTATCTGGTTGCGACAATCATATGGCAAGACTAATTCATGTATCAATCATAAAACCAATTGGCAATATGGGGAATAGTCCAACTTCTTATAAACCCTTGCAAGGTTTTTCCTTTCACCTATGTGGGGTGGTACGCTATTACCTTTACATTCTCACATGCCTCTTTGCATGTTCACATTCTCACATGTTCCTTCATGTGTAACCAATTTTCAAACCAAACATTTGGAAAACACAAATTAGGTGACGTGGAGCACATGCGACCGTTGGGCTTCAAACGTGGGCTAACCTAACTCTGATACCATGAAGAAAGTTGAGGTTCCACCATAAAACAAATTTGTAATATGACGAGTAACCGACTTTTTATAAGCTCTTGAAAGGTTTTTTTTTTTTCACCATGTGAGATTCTTTTACTCTCGCATTCTCACAACATCACGTAGCAATGTGGCAATCTCATACAATAGTATCCCACAATTCAGATGTATTTGGATACTGATGCAATGCATTTCTTGTTTTGTTATGTGGTACATTGACAAAGAGTTTTCCAAGTGGAAAAGTAAATGAATGATGTGAAAGGCTTATTAATGTGACTTTTCATGTGTTTGTTAGGTAAGTGTGTAGTGTTGCAATTCTACATTTTCTGGCCAGGTGGTAGTTCTGAGGCTGCAGAATTGATTCTGTCATTTTGTACGCAGAATTTGGTACCACCGTCATTTTGTACGCAGAATTTGGTACCACCATGTGAAAGTAGTTATCAACAATTTGGAATCACCTGCACTTCTTGGGATGATTTGATTGCTTTCTACCAACACCCCTATATCTCTTTTGCACATAAAGGTACTCTCATTCTCTCGCTGTAATATATCAAGTGCTCTTTGGTAATTTAGGTCTTTTGCTTGGGTAAGTAAATAATTGGTCAAATATGGGCCTACAACAAGTACAACGTCCAAAACAATACAACATAATAAGAGCCCACAGCAAAAAATCAGGCCTAACCCTAAAATACAAGAAATTTTATATGTTGATTGTACTGCTATGTGGTGTTATCATTCCGCATGTTACTAGTGATTGTAAAACAAATGCATTTGTTTTATTATGTATTTGGACGACAAGACTGATATATATCCCCACTCCTAGCCATACTAATGAAAAACAAATGCATGTATTACAGCTTGAGTGAAATCGTAAAATTCTGTGACGGTGTTTCAGACACATAAAAAAATTACTTCTAATACAAAAACTAAATTGGGATGTTGTTGCCACTTCCACAGTTCCACCACCACGATAGGACTAAGCATCGATAGCATATTCGACCATACAACAATGAAGAGTCCTTAAAAGGGAAACCCCATACAGACATACATCGTGGAAAACCTTTCACTTCAGGAATCTTTTATTACAGCATCTTCAAAAAAGATGTCAAATTTCAAAAATAAAATTTAAAAATAAGAATTTATGTGGCACTTTGATCTTTTTTAAAATCTTGTGCCAATATGTCAAATTAATCTATTATTTATTACATTATTTCCTTTTCATATTTGTGATAAATATTTCTAGAACAAAAAGCAACAATAAAAATGATTAAAAAAATAATTTATTAATCAATTAAAAGTAGATTTAAAGTTGCTCTCAAATTTAACAGCAACCACGTTTGCTGCCAATCCACATCATGCCGTTTAAATATTGGCATTTCGGTTGAAAAAACACTAATGTTATCTATTTCAATATTATTGCTAATGTGAACTTTTTGACATCTCTTTTAGAGATGCTTTAAGTAATAAATTAATTAGTGTGACAGTCAAGTTGCCAAAATAAAAATAACCTTGATAAATTTATATCGGCCTGAAAGTATCTAACATAATTACATAAAAAATATCTAATATAATCTACCCTCTCATGAAAAATGGGAAAACTTTAAAAAATTCAAGTAATTAGAAGAGGATTAGCCATAGAAAAATAATAAAGCTCACCATTAATGACGAAGTAACGATCGAATTAATTGCTTTCTAATAAAAACAAAGAAAACTAGGCTTGCTTCACTAATCTCCCAACAGAGAAACTCTTATTCAACAAAGCAAGCATTATTAGTATGAAGTTAATATGAAGGGGCATCATTTCAGGGATAGCACTCGTGCACCAACTCAGGCCTTCCTTCAACTAGTCTGCATGCACCATTCGGTGTTATGAGCCACTCACAATTCTTGACGCACTTAGGTTTGTCTCTCAGTTGTACGTATATGTCAAGCCAGTAAGATCCGCCTTCCCAGTCAAGTTTGCAGTAATATTGTGTCGAATTCAAAAGTTCGGCCGAAAATGGAATTCAAAGGACCCATCAGGGTTATCACATGAACATCAACGCTATCGTCTTTGGACTTACAATGAACTGTAAGGTCACGACCATTACGCAAATAGTTAATCATTGTGGCATGGGTTACGGGATTGACAATTTCCCGCATCATGTAGTTCTTCGCATCAGTAGAAATGTGAGAACCATGCTTCTCATATGCACAGCCATGCTTGCTTGGTTGCAATCTACTGATCTTATAGAGGATGAATGAAAGGGGAAATGTTGTTAGTTGGTGGGTGAATAAAGGGTATATCGGGTTTCTTATATACTAAAGTAAATTCAAGTATGTTTAATTGTGTACTTTATGGAAAGAGGCTCGTTTTCTTTTCTTCTCCCTATTTTCTCTTTAAGAAAGGAAGGGGATATGAGAAATTTCTAGAGGATCTGGTGTGAATTGATGATTTAAGTCTTTTATAATATTAATTCACGCATGTCCAATTACTTTTTTTAGTGCAAACGATGATCTGCACTAATCCTTGTTAAAAGCCCAAAGGTGGAAGTAGAGGGTTTGAATTCGGGATGTAATGGGTTGAAAAGAAGGTTCTAAATATCAAGATAATATATCAGTTGCCATAAGTCCAATCACTAACATTTAAACTCTAAATAAGGGTTTCTATCGCCACTTAGTACTACGGTCTAATAATATTCTTCTTCATTTGTAAGTGAGAGGTCTTAGGTTTAATTCTTGCTACAAGCGAACGTGAACCACATTATTACTAGCTCATTTCCCACCCCCTTAATGTAGATAATATCGTTTGCTTAAAAAAAAAAAATAATAATAATAATAAAAAAAGGTTTCTATCACAAATAGTCCTTGAAAATAACCCAACCCATTAATATGGTCTCTGAAATTGAAAATCGATCATTGTTCTGTGGCATCCATTTTCAAGGACTACATTAATCGATTTTCAATTTTATAAATCATTTTGATGAGATGAGTCAATTTCAGGACCATCTACCATAAAAAGGGTGACTTGTTGAATCACCAATTCGGTAGACTGCTTGCCAAAAATATAAATTTTGGCAGACCTTTAATAAAAATTCACGTTGCTTGGTTTAAGGCTACTAATTTTTAAAATCATTTCAGTCAATCCCTACTATATTATATCGGGAGGAGTCCTCCTTTCCTAAAGTCATCATTATGAGGATTTGAAAGGATCAAATGAATATTAGTTACAAGATTTATATTTCAGAACCATCTACCATAAAAAAGGTGACTTGTTGAATCACCAATTCAGTAGATGCTTGCCAAAAATATAAATTTTGGCAGATCTTTAATAAAAATTCACATTGCTTGGTTTAAGGCTACTAATTTTTAAAATCATTTCAGTCAATCCCTACTATATATCGGGAGTAGTCCTCCTTTCCTAAAGTCATCATTATGAGGATTTGAAAGGATCAAATGAATATTAGTCACAAGATTATGAGCTCGTTTGGATATGTTTTTTAAATGACTGAAAACATTTTTGGTAAAAATATTTTTGGAAACAATACTTAGTAAAAATGCAAGTAAATCTTGAAAAAACAGTTACAGTGCTTCCTGGAGCTCGTTTGGATGTGTTTTTTAAATGACTGAAAACGTTTTTATTAAAAATATTTGTGGAAACAATACTTAGTAAGAATGCAAGTAAATTTTGAAAAAACACTTATAGTGCTTCCTGAGAAGAATCGCATAACTGGTGTTTCTTGTAGAAAACACTTCAAGTGCTTCTGAAGCCCAAAAACATTTTCTCCAAAAGCGTTTTCAGTCATTTTAAAAGCACATCCAAACGAGTCCTATATTAGTCCTGGATCTAAATTCGTAAGATATTTGACAACTTAATAAACCAAAACCAACTTAAAATTCATGAACCATTAGAAAACTCAATTTTTTTGTTTTGGTTTATTAAATTATCAAATATTTTAAGCTTTTGAATCTAAACTAATATAATTTTGTGGTTAATATCCATTTAGTAATCACGTGTCCCCAAAATGAGGACCTTAAGAGAGCACGATGAAATCGGAAGAGTGTGGGGTATGTGGATGGTTTGGGCAAGTAAAAGGGGTTAATTTTTTTTTTTCCGTAACAGTTGATGTGGGTGTTTAACAATTAAGAATTGGTTTTCAGTGCTACCAAATTTCAACTTATTTACAAAATGCTGGAGCCTTTTTTTCAACTTCAACTTATTTATGATTGCGAACATACTTCAACTTATGTCACCACACCCAAACCTCAACTTATTCATAAAAATGTCGCCATACCCAAACTTCAATTTATTTGCGAAAATGTCACCGCCTCTTTTTTTTTTTTTTTTTTATCTTTAATATTAATAAAAGTCCATTAAGTGTTTTTCATTAAATTTTTGGCATTTTAAGCCATTTTCATTAAAAATCCAATAAATTATGGGTGTTGACACTCCAATTCCAAAAAGGGCTTTTGCACTCATTCAAGTGCTTATTCTCTCATATTTTTACATGTTTTGAGTGGATGATGACTTTGTATTAGAGTGTTAATTACAACTCTTTGAATTAGGTGTTGTCTATCATAAGGGCTTCCTTTACCTCGGGATAAGGTTGGTTGTTGTTGTAAACTGTTTCCCAGTTTTGGAAAAATTCGATTCATTGTACACTTTTAAGTAGATGAGAGAGTTGAATCATAATCCCATACCGTGATGTGCTAAGCTCGTGTCTCTTATTAACCTTTGTTACTCCGTGGATATTGTTAAAAGTTTTGGTTCGTGATTAAGATAAAGTAGTTACTGTTGTGCCAACCCTTTTCGTTTTCTTGGTGTATGCATTAGTGTCGGCATTGAGTTCAAAACAAGTGTTTGTAACCAATTTATAATTCGTTAAACACGGCAGTCTGAGCTATTCTATGTCACAGGACAGAACTTGAGGTTGATTGAAGAAGTAGTGACTTAAATGGCTAGAGTTTGTTCGCCATACTTTGATCCTGAGTATGAGAACCTGAGCACAAGAATCAATCCCCCGAGGTAATCTCCCTCTGCGCGTATGAACTATTTAATCAAAATTCTATTTGGATTTCACCGTTTCATTCAGCTGGACTGTCATTGTTTTACGTCGTTGTACGATTTGTTTGCAGGGTCTCCATAGACAACTCTAGCTGCAGTGACTGTACTATAGTCAAGGTGAGTTTTCCTTTTAACCGTTATAATTATGCTTTCTGTTGACACCAGATTCTTGCTATCATGTATGAAAATTGTTTTCTCCTTTGAATTAATAGGTGATTATAGAGTGAAATTCATAGGTTAACTTACCTCTAAACGGAAGACATGTCTTCCCAACTCCTGCTGGAAAACCACCCAAAGACGGGATTTAATTTGCTTTGTTCTTATCTTACACTCAGTGAACATATATTCCAGCCATCATGTTGAAATTGGTGTGGGGGATATGAAATTATGTGTAGGTTGACAGTGTCAACAAACCGGGAATTCTGCTTGAAGTCGTGCAAATCTTGACAGACCTTGACCTCATAATCACCAAAGCCTATATCTCCTCTGATGGTGGATGGTTTATGGATGGTATGTATATTCTTCGGCTGATCTTTCCCTGATGCTTGTCTGTTTAGTTGATTTCTTACACTATTGGATAGGCCTAGTCCTGTTGGCTCCGAATCCTCTTTTGAATTGATAAATTTTTGCTTTCTATTAGTTAATAGCCTCTATGAAAAAATGCCATGTCGAATCCACAGTTCTTGATTTGAACTCTTTACACATAAGAATTCGATTATCCACCCTTATCAAAGTCTTTGAGCCTAGATTGGCTGCACCTAAAAAGAGATTAACAAATATAGGTAATAAACTTTCGGAAAATCTTATTTCGAAGAATAATGCATTGTACTTCTTATAGGCAGAGCATCATATTCGCTGCAATTGAGTACAAACATCATATTATAACTTATTGAGGGAGATAAGTTTGTCATACTAAGAGGGCAGAACAAGAGTACGCAGCAACTCTTTGTGCCTGTGTGCCTGCACGCACGTGTATACAATTTATTGACATTTTGTGTTCTTTAATGGACAGTATTTCACGTCACCGATCAGCAAGGAAAAAAAGTTACAGACAGTAAAACCATCGACTACATAGAGAAGGTAATCCCCTTGATGCTTTTTTACTGCCACATGTTTTCCTGTGTTTTTGCAACCATCATCTGGATCAAGATTCTCTTCATTCTAAATTGGCCTTAATAATTTGCTTTACTAGAAACTGCAGGCACATGAGCTGTCATCTTGCACAAAGGGTTTCCTCCTTTTATCATTTCGTTGTTACGAAGGATTTCTATCATGTGATCGATGATATTAAGAGTGATCTTGTCTATGATTTGTGTCATGCATAGGCTTTAGGACCAAAGGGCCATATCACAGACCTGCTGAATGCTTGTCCAGGAAAAGGGGTTGGAGTGCACTCGGTCGGGGATCATACGGCCATTGAGATAATTGGCAGAGACCGACCAGGTCTCTTATCTGAGATCTCTGCTGTCCTTGCCAACCTTCACTTTAATGTAATTGCTGCCGAAGTATGGACACACAATGGACGAATAGCTTGTGTTGTGTATGTCAATGATGACACTACATGCCAACCTGTGGAGGATCAAGCCAGGTTATCCACAATGGAGGAGCAGCTCAAGAACATCCTTCGTGGGTGTGAGGACGATGAGAAAGTTGGTCGCACTAGCTTCTCTATGGGGTTCACCCATGTTGATAGGCGGCTCCACCAGATGTTGTTTGCTGATAGGGATTATGAGGGTGGTGGACTGGCAAATGAAGTTGATCATTTTCCTCCCTGCTTCCAACCAAAGATCACCATTGAGCGTTGTGAAGAAAAGGGGTACTCGGTGGTTAGTGTGCGGTGCAAGGACCGTGCAAAGCTCATGTTTGACATCGTATGCACACTCACAGATATGCAGTATGTTGTTTTCCATGCCACCATCTCATCTGATGGCCCATACGCATCACAGGTACATAAGTCTCATGCTCATCTATTGGCCAATTTTCAAGTTTTCAAACTATTCCTCTAACGGATGAATTTTTTAGGTAGTTGCCTTTCTGTTTCTTGATTAAAATACCGTAAACTGATGCTTATAGTTACCTGCAGGAGTATTTTATCCGTCACATGGATGGTTACACCCTCGATACTGAAGGAGAAAAGGAAAGGGCCATCAAATGTATTGATGCTGCAATTCGAAGAAGAGTAAGCGAGGTTAGTGAAAAATCTATCCAGCATTTAACGCTCGTTTTAAAAGCTTGTTTTGCTTCGAGTTAATGCACATTTGAACTCAAGAATATATTATAAACTAATCCCGGTCCATGGACTTGCAGCTACACAGCATAAAAGGTTGCTGAGCATTTTCAACATAATATATATGCATTTAACTTGTAGTATGTATTCTAGCAATAGTATACAGGAGATCAAGTACATAATTTCCTCTTAACTAAATTGTTTCCTCCAATTAATATATACAACATCCGAATGGAATTCCTTTTTAATTGAGAATCCCTGACGAAAATCTTCAAGAAAAAAGATAGTGCATGGAAAAGTTGTTACATAATTTATAAAGTCATCTGTTAAACTGTGCAAGTGATTGCAATAGAAGAGAGCATTTTCTGATTTAAAGTTGAAAGCAATAACATATCTTTCATAAGCCACTACATCTAATTCACTTGAACTTGTATTTGTAAACTTTACTTGTATGTTGGAAACAATGAGGACGTGAGTTCTCAGTCCGTGTAGCCGATTGAATTGCCATGAAATTCAGGGTCTAAGGCTAGAGCTGTGTGCTAAGGATAGAGTAGGCTTGCTTTCTGAAGTAACAAGGATCCTGAGAGAGCATGGATTGTCAGTTACAAGAGCAGGCGTCACAACAATTGGGGAGCAAGCAATGAATATCTTTTATGTTAGAGATTCTTCAGGGAATTCTGTGGACATAAAGACAATCGAAGCACTTCGTAAAGAAATCGGACACACAATGATATTCAATGTGAAGAAAGTCCCAACAAGTTCTGCTGAGGTGCCTGAGACTAAAGGATGGGCCAAGACAAGCTTCTTCTTTGGGAACTTGCTAGAGAGGTTCTTGGCTTGACAAGAGGTATGAATATTGTAAGGTACATTGAAAATGTACAGAAGAATAAATCTGTTCAGGAAGTTATCTGGACAGACTTTCTGCTTTTGTACTCTTTGTATAATATGTATGCATGTAAGTTTGTAACTTTTGGACTTTGCACAACACTCTCTTTTTACTTCTTTTTGACATTTGATCCTTATCTTGATTAGTCTTATGATTATGCTTCCCAAATGCCTCTTTGATATGTCAATCCAACACTACTTTCATTATACAATGTGCGACTTTGTATTTTTTATTTTTTTCACAAGCGATATTCTACACTAATTTACATTAAGGAGCGGACAGATGACGCAGGTGGTTTCAAGAGGAAAGTCGTAACCATCAGAGCAATCTACCACTTACAAAATTTGACTTTGCTTAATTTATTGTGTTAGACAAGTACTACTCTCGGCAAAAAAAATATGTGTAATTCAAGTTGCTATCACCATTGTTATCACCCTTCTCTTCATATGAGTAGTTCCCGAGATTTTATTGTAGGCTTCGAAAAAACCGTGTCGCTTTAGTTCTAGCATTTTGTTACATATATAAAAGAAATGATTGAATACATGTGTGGGTCAATTAAGAAAAGTCGATTGAATGTCAGTGCGGATTCAATCGAGATTTTGAGTAATTTTTAATCACATATGTCATATTATTGTCACTCATACGAGATTTGTAGCTTACTTGGATTTTTGTTTTGACCTTGTGGTCAGTTTCAAATTGTAGGGTTGTTTTTTAAGAGTAGTAGAGATAACAGTTAGAGATGAGGATTTCAAGTGGTGTAGCTGATGTGGGTAGGGTACTCGAGAGTAATTGTATTCTACTGAATATTTGATAATATTTAGATGTGAGTTTCAATGGATTTTATATATTTGTTTTAGAGCTTCGTTCTTTTACCATGTGTTGATTTTGAACGTATTTCAAAATCGTTTCGAGACGTGACAATAGACTGGGCCAAAAACATAGTGGTAGCCAGATCATGCACCTTACCAAGGAAGGGATTGAATGCAAGACCTCTTGTAATTAGAGCCCTAATAAAGTTTTAAAATGTTAAAGGATGAACCAAAAATGCCAGTTAAGCTAAAATTGTGGACAAATATGACTAAATTTGACCAAAGAAGCGTATGCTGAAAATAATCCATTCAGGGCAAGGAAGACTTTAGTTGCTTGTAACGGAAATTATTTTTTATTTTTTATCATTTATGTGTCAACATCCGCACATATGTGAATATTATATCGAATTCAGCCCATGCACTCAACTTTGGACGGTCTGGTTTGCGGAAAGGGATCCGGAGTGTGAATATTATATCAAATTCAGCCCAGGCACTCAACTCTGGACGGTCTGGTTTGCTGAAAGGAATCTTCTCCGAATCACTTCCACCTAATTCTCCTCATCAAATAATTTAGGTTTTTGAAATTTAATCAAATAGCTAAAAACATGGATTTACTTTAAAAGTTATAATAATTTTAACCGTGTGATCAAATTTTAAAGATCCGAATTTTTTTTTTATAAGAATGATTAGGTAGAAGCTGGTTTGAAATGCAAGCAAGCAGCCATGCACGGCTTTCTAGCTGGCCTCGAGTTGACAGCAGACATGCGCCCTCAAGAAACCAACAGGATCCTCTTGGCCCTTTTGACGAGGATCTTAGGAATTCGTGAATCGTGTTCGTTTATCGTACATTGTGCGATCAATTTTTATCAAGTACTGTTTGTGTTTAATTTTAAATAAAAATATTTAAAACAATTTATAACCTCACGATATATAATGAATGGACACAATTTACAAATCTTCTGAATCCTCATAAAGAGAATTCGACGAGGATCTAAGGAAAAATGCATATTAACACATAAGAAAATAACATTAAAATAAGCAAAATGCTGCCAAAATACACAAAGTAGTGCAGTTGACTAAATAAGAGTAATGCTAGGTATACCAACTTTTTGATTAAATTTGCAAAACTTATGATGTGTTACTGATACAAAATAAGCACGTTAATCAAAATTTTAATAATAATTTAATCTTCAACAACATCCATGCCATATCATATGATTTGCGAAATATAATATATATATATGATTTTTTTAGCAGTACCCGATTAAATAATCATTTGTTAATTCTTTGTTGTTCATTGAATGTATGCGTTATCACCGGAAAATGATGACTAATTTATTCCTATCAAAGGGGACTGTAGAGAGTACAGTAACACTAATCTAATAATTTGTTAATTCTTTGTTGTTCATTGAATGGAAAATGATCCTCTCCATAGTTCGTATTCCTTCTATCAAATTTATACAATCAATATCTAGACTTTTGAAATTTAATTCAATGATTAAAAATAAGAAATTCTTTAAAAGTTATAATAATTTTAACCGTTTAATCAATTTTTAAATGTTCAAATTAATTAATGAGAAGAATTTAATAGAAAGAATCCGAAAAATATCCCTTTCTCATTAAATGTATGCGTTATAACCGGAACATGATGACTAATTTATTCCCGTCAAAGGGGACTGCAAAGGGTACGGCAACACTAATCTAACTCTCACAAGCAAACGATTCTCATAAATTATTGTTGTTTATTTTTTTTGTTCGAAAATAACAATTCTCACAAGCAAACGAATTTATATATATTAAAAATACAAAATCATGCACATAATAAGATAAATGAAGGAAAAGACAACCCTACTCAATAATTGTCACTAATATGGCAAAAATAGTAAACGGAAATAATAATTAAACACCATTTTACTTTCTTTTTATTTATATATATTATTGTTTAATTATGTTTGTTGTTTTTATTTGATTTTTTTATTTATTATTCTGAAGATCAAAAATATAAAAAGTACGCATGAGAGAAAAAATTGTGTATGATTATCTTTTTCTAGGGTTTAGGCTTTAGAGTTTAGGGCTCAGGGTCTAACATAAAAAAATATAATTTTTATAAGTCAATCATGCAAACTTTTTCATGTGTAAAGAAAGACTAGAACGTGTGCAGAATTCATGATCAAGATTATAAAGAAAATGAGTTCCCCTACGTGAAGAAGAAACAACCAAAGGATATAATGGAAAAATGCATCTTTTTAAAATTATTATTAAGAAAAGGAGAAGGGTTCCAAATTTTTACAATAATTATGAAAAAAAAAAAGGAATTTTAAATTCAAAATGCATGAATAATTTTTTTTTATATATTTAAATTGAAACAGATACGTATGTGATATGCACCCACGAAAGATAAAACCAAAATTTGATTTCTGACGTCCACTAGCAACCAAACATGAAATTACACCACTCATGCATTTCTGAAAGGTGAAGTGAAAGGAGATAAGAATGCTTATTCAATCACTTCCCTTTTGTCCAGGAAAAGGAAATTATGGGATTTAATTGGTTACAAGTGTGAGACCTAATGATGAAGCATAATATTCGACGTCGTTTTCTCGCGTCTACGTGCACCCATTTGCATGTCAAACCTCACTTTGGAATTTGGCAGGGATTTGTCCATCAAATACTACAGTTTCGCGCCCAACAGTTTATAACGGAAACACGTTAAGATCATCTTCAAGTAACGAAGAACTAAATGTAACCTTTGGCTATATTTTAGTCCTTTAAAACTGAAATCTCTTGTATCTGAGATTTGTCAATAAGTAGAATGATACCGCTTTCCTCATTTTCAGTAAAGAATAAAGTTCTTATTTCACACTAACATAACATTATTTGACCGTATAAACGTCATAATCAGATCATTTTATATACTATGCAATCTGTTGCAATCTGATCTTGATCACTCCTAATCTTGTGCAATTCTAGGTAACCAAACGTGCTCTCAAGGATAAAAACGACTTGGCCCCAACTTCTAACTATATTTTGAAATCTATATTAGAAAAAACTTAAATGAGTTGTTCAAATTAATTATTCCTTTAAACTATGAATTTCTTTTATAGGCTAATTGTCATATGATCCACCTAAATTATTTAAGGCGCTTAGCTAAATTGCTATTAAGGATTAAGGTATCTCTTATCGGCCAAAATATTAACGTCAGCATGTATCTAATAGTTGCCTTCTTAACTGAAATTAGACAGTATGGCTGATTTTGACAGAAGGTATATATCGCTTGCTTTGCTTTGTTTCCCAATTTTGCACGTTACATAGAGTCATCTAAAACCCAAAAGTTAAGCTATTATGTTAAAAGGATCCGACCTCCCAAGTTGGCCATTTGCTTTTGGTTTCTGCCAACTGCATAATGGAAGAAAGACTTGGCCATTTTCCCCTCAACTTTTACTCAACTACGGATTTTTCTGCTATTGTCAATTTCCTCTATCAACTATATTAATCGTCATTTTCCGCTATCGTCATGCTTACCATTATTTCATATAATTTTCCGTCCAAAAAAATGTCACTCTTGTGATTAAATGTGACCCCCATATTTCTACTTTTTCATTTCTTGAAATTTGAGAGCACTCCCACCGTAGCATTTTGCTCGGGGGACCGGCTCCAGAACAAAGGCCCGAGGGCCGGTGGAAGGCGTCCAGCGTGACGCAGGCCGGGGGACGGGGGAGGCCCGAGGGCCAGGCCCGTGAGGAATTGACAGGCCTTGAGCCCGGGGTGGGAGTGACGCCATGCTGACGCCAGGGTGGCGTCAGCGTATTATTTTATTTTTTTTGTGTCAGGCGCGTGCACCCCACCCGCGCGTGGGGGCGCGTCCTGACAGTTTAATCAGAAAAAAAAAGTTTTGTCTGTTACCGTTGGGAAGCCACGTGGCTTCCCACGGTACGTTAGATCCTAACGGTCACTTAATGTGGACCGTTAGATCTCAACGGTAAAAAATTTTAAAACTGTCAGATTTAATATCCACCGTTCGATCTGAGATCAACGGTGGATATTAAAATGCTTTATAAATTAAAAAATAAATGAAAAAATAGTTTAAAAAATCTGAAAAGTTACCGTTGTGACACGTGGCACAATCTGGAGCGTTGGAATTCAAATTTTTTTATATCCAACGGCAGAGATTAATTAATTGAAAAAAAATTCAAAAAAAGTGTAAAAAATTCAAAAAAATTCAAAAAAAATCTGAAAAATCTGAAAAAAATTGTAAAAAAAATTGTTTTTACTTTTCTATAAATACCTTCTCATTATCATCTACCTTCACAACAATTTCATATTTTCTCAACTACTTTCAATCACATTCCTTTCTTTGTCTCAAAGTTTGAAT